GATTTCCAAAGACAAAGATCCCCCATATAGCCCTAAAAGACTGTAGGGGCAAGTGCTGTTAGCGAGCATCTATGAAGGCCGGAACGGTACACGAGGGGGTGGGTGGCCAGCACCACGCCCGACCGCCTTTGTCTCCCCAGTGGAGATATTAACACACCGCACCAGGTACTCATTTGAGGTTTAGTCGACGTAGGGGAGGCCCAGGACCGGTTCAAATATTCGTCACTGGTGTTGGCCGTGAGCGGGAATCGAACCCGGGTTGCCGGGTTCATAGCGCAGCGGACTAACCGCTACACTACCGCTCCCCCCTTATTGATTACCCCCCCCCCCCCCCCCCCCCCCCCCCCCCCCCCCCCCACCACACACACACACAGCTACCCCCAAACACCGTGTCTGTGTTCATGTGTGTGGACGCCCAACGCCGGTGACGATTCTCTGAACCGGTCCTGGGCCTCCCCCTAGGTCGACTCAGTCTCAAATGAGTACCTGGTGCGGTGTGTAAACATCGCCGCTAAGGGAGACAAAGGCGGCCGGGCGGGGTGCTGGCCACCCATCCCCTCGTGTGCTGTGCCTGCCTTCATAGGTGCTCGCTAACCGCACTTTCTCCTACAGTCTGTTAAGACTATACGGGGGATCTTTGTCTTTGTTTTGTATTCGTGTGTCGGGGGGAGCGGTGACGCAGTGCTTTCGCACGCCGCGCTACGAACTCGGCGAACCCGACTTCGATTCCCGCTCACGACCAACAACAGTGGCGAATATCTGAAACGGTATTGGGTCTCGCGTAGGTCGACGTAGCCTCAAATGAGTAGCCGGTGTGATGTGTAAACATCGCCACTCAGGAGACAAACGTGGCCGGGAGTGGTGCTGGAAACTAGTTCGTCGTGCCGGCCTTCACAGGTGCTCCCGAAGAGCACTTTCCCCCAACAGCTTACGTAGGCTATCCGGGAGGTTCTTTGTCTTTGTGTGTGACAGAGTGTGTTCATACAAGAGAGCACGGAGGGAAAGGTGAATCTCAATCTGGGGATTTTCATTTAAAAATCACGTTCGTTAAACATGCTTAAGTGTTTACACTTGTTTTCAAAACTCTTACATTCGATTAAATTACAGATGCAATTGAGACAAATAGGGGTTGTCTTTTTTTTAAATGACCTTAAAACCTAACACCCTGAAGTATATGATTCCTTTCCAAAATCAATTCCTAAGTATTACCTCCTTCCTGAACGCGTGCTACAGTCAAGCTCACTTTGTCTGGGACGATGGGACATAGCAGAGTGTTGTGGGGGTCGCTCCGAATATACGGGGGGGGGGAGGGCGACGCCTCTCTTAAAATGCTCCAAAACGTTTACGGATATAACCACTCACGATCACGGAATAAAAACAAACACGGATAAACGGTGTGTGTGTGGGAGGGGGGTTGTGCAGCGCCAGCACGTCTCATAAAGGCGACACAAGAAGACAAGAACGCGGGATAAAAGTGTAACAACGTCCGACATGCGTGATTCTATATTGTACTAAGAGCCTTTTGTGTCGGACGCGAACGCCGCCTTCAGCACGAACGTCCGACTTCTCTCCGAAACGCGTCTTCCCCTTGAGCCATATCTCCTTTTATATCCCTCCGAGCGCCCCCCCCCCCTTCTCGAGCTTTTGCGCACCCCCAATTTCCATCCGCAAATCCCCGTCCTTCCTCTCGAACCCTTCTCAGCCCTTCCCCTCCGAGTGCACCTAGCGTTCCCCACCTTTTTTAACGTTTGAGTTTCTCTCCCCATCCCCTCCCCCCCCCCAATTTTTTGGGATCCTCTGTCCCGTGCCAATCCTCTTGTGAGGCCTCCCTGCACCCAATCAGAGGCCTTGGACACACTTCCTGATTGTGCGTTTTCCACGCACACCGTGTCAGGTAAAAGTTGGTCTGTTGCGTCGGTCCTTTGACGAAAGAAAGTCGTTTTTTTAGTTTGCCCGCGACGCTCAGAATTCCCGGTGCGCCTTTTAACCCACGGACACAAATCCGGACAACAAGTATGCATTTTACCAATGCGACTCCGGTTAGCCACAGAAGAAATTGTGGATAACTGGAGTTTTTTGCGGTTTAATTCGCGTCGGGGTTTGGAGGGTGTCACTGATGGCCGGACTTTCACTGATATTGTAGATAAACGTTATTGGGTTGTTCTCTCTCCCCCCCCCACCTCCCCCACGAATAGTAATTGCAAGCAATGAGTGTTCGATGCGGTGAATGTGCCGTGTTGAACATAACAGCAAGCGTTTTTCTCCGTCGTTTCATTGCACACAGCACGGTTGATGGTTGTGGGTTCACCTCCAAAGAATGCATTCTGAAAATTCTTACACCGGGGTGAAAAATATTGTTTCCCGTGTCTTAAGGTGGGGGAGGGCAAGTGAATCCGATTAGAATTGAACATTTTAAATAAAACATTCTTACACTCACAATTCGATGCATGCATCACGATCTTAGTCATTCGTATTAATCCATGAAATCATAGGTCATTCATCTCACTGCAATTTTGTTTTCGCTCTACATATCTGTATAAATTTAAGAGCTCAATGTTGGCGTGTGCTTCCTGGCATGCAAATGAAAGTGCTCGGGGGCGGGAGGGTGGGGGGGGGCAGTTGAATATAGACGTTTTAAAACAGTGGGGGGCTTTTAGTTTTATATTAACGTCCTTTTGGGAGAGGTTAAATTACAACGATGTACAATAATGGGACCTCATCAATCTCGCCCTCGTTGGCAAGCTCATGCGGACGCATCGATTTCCGACCCCCCCCCCCCACCGCATCTTTCCCGCGCGCCCCGTGTTCGATAAAGTTCGCGGCCGTGGAAGCGGACTCTCGATTTGTTACACAAGCAGATTACGGCAATTTACTGGGCGTGACCACTGGCGCTCCTCGCGGAGAGAGGGGTGGCTGGGTGGGTGTCTGGGCACCCCCGCGCCCCCCCCCCCCGGTGCCCCCACCCCATACCCCTCCTCCCCCCTGTCCCACGCCCATTTGATGTGCCACCCCCACCTGGAATGATTGCCGCTTTGGGCACCAAAGTCATCCCCCATGAAATAGCCGCACGGCGAGTTGCAGCACTGCCCGCTGTTTATGTCATTTCTGGATTGAACACTTTGGAAGTTGGCGGTGCCGTGATAGACGAATGCTTCTGGTTGGTGATTGGTTAGAAGATAAACAGTGGCTCGCTATTTTCTCACGCTATCAGATCTCAACTGGAGTGGATGGAGCTCGCTTTAGATGACATCACAACGAGATTGAATGGAGCTCGCTTTAGCTAACACAGACCGCCATGGGAGTGAATGGAGCTGGCTTTAAATGACATCTCTACGTGAGTGAATGGATCTCGCTTTAGCTAACACAGACCTCCATAGCAGCGAATGGAGCTCACTTTAGATTACATGTCTACGGGAGTGAATGGAGCTCGCTCCACGCACTGTGGAGCTTCGTGTGGATCTGAGCCGGCGCTCCAAACGTCGGAAACGGCCGGTCGCGCTCGACAAAAACGCGCAGTTACAACGCCAATATATATTTTTAACTCAAAGAAGCAACACACACATTTGGACTGTACCACCGCGAAACCCGCGAAGCAGGAGGCCTCTTGTTTTCGTCCGTGGGGGGGGGGGGGGCTGGGTCTGTGTGTCTAGCAGCCCCCCACCCCCTATACTTAGTCAGCGCGCCTTGAGATAATCGAGAGCGTGCGGTGAACATGGACGGAGCTCTTTGGCACGGCGCGGAAAATGCCATCGCGGTAAACATGGCGCGGGAGATCTCCACGCCAAAACGGATTAAAGCTCTCTTCTGCAGGGGGTCTAATTGCGTAGCTGATATTCGTTTAGTCACGGCTCGTGGAACGTATTTCGTCTGCACATATTCGGTGCGCGCGCACGTGATTATGATTATTGGTGTTGAGGGTGCTCCTAATCTCAGCTCGTTACCTGTATAAAGTACACCTGGGAGCGAGAAATCTTTCTGATTGAGAAGGGGTCAAATACTTATTTCCTTCATTAAAATGCAAATCAATTTATAACATTTTTGACATGCGTTTTTCTGGATTTTTTTGTTGTTATTCTGTCTCTCACTGTTCAAATAAACCTACCATTAAAACTATAGCCTGATCATTTCTTTGTCAGTGGGCAAACGTACAAAATCAGCAGGGGATCAAATACTTTTTTTCCCTCACTGTACATAGGATGTCGCTGAGCCTGTGTTCCATGACCCACGTGTTACTATCTCTGTCTCTCAGTCTCCTTTCCAAGCGCACCGCTCTGTCTCTCTCTGGGCTTCTTTGTGGAAGTTCTACTAAACTCGCAAAGATGAATATCGGGCTGGGTCCACGAGCAAAAAATGGGATTATCATGTATTGCAATTCACGTTCGTCCTATAAAAAACAATTCCGATCAATCGTTTATTCAGAGAGCAATTAGTCGATCCAAAATCAGCAACAACAACAAAAGGTGCATGGAAACCACGGTCACTTCTCGTTCAATTCGTTTGATTAGTAGGGGAAAGTGGTGCGCTTGGGAGGCAAGGGGGTGAGGCGTTAGGCTGCCAACCGTCCCGATTTGGAGCGGGACAGTCCCAGTGGTATCGCGCGGTCAACTCGCGATTCTGGCAAGAGTGGGGGGAGGGGTTGGCTTCACTCAAGTAGTGGGACCGGAGTCTAAGTCGCGAGGACGGGGGCCTATATTGCAGTGGGCGTGGTGGGGGGAGGGGCAACATCAGAAACAACGATGCCGTTCCCACGTGCCGGTGGTGTTTGCGATCGAGTGGGCGTGGCTTCGTAAAACTGGGCGAGGCTGACGGAGGGAGGGCGGGGCCGCTCACCATGTATCCCGGTTGAGCTTCCCAGAAATGTATTTGGTAGCGTGACTAGCTTGGGTTGTTAGAGGTGCAGCTTTTTGCGTGCAGTTTGTTGTCCTTCCCCCGCACCTCCGATTAGCACCGTTGGCTAAGTACGGTGCGAAAGAAGTTCAACGTACAGGCGAGGGGGGGGGGGGTAGCTGTGTACGGTGTGTGGGGGGTGGGGGAGGTGTGCGGGGTGGTGAGGTTGCGGCGGCGGCGGCGGCGGGGGGCACGCGAAGCCCTCCTTCACTTGCACGTCTGAACGTCCGCGAGCGTCTCGCACACCCTGCACCTCACGTAGCAGCACCACATGAACTTGCACTCGCATCGCTCGGCGTGGCGCACCACGTGCGTGTTGTAGCCACGGCCGCAGCACAGCGAGCCGCAGCCCTCGGGCCCGTCCGAGAACTTATCGCACTCACGCCCCTTGGTGCCCGCCGTGCCCAGCGCCCCGTTGCGCACGCAATAGTCGGGCGAGTCGGCCACGTGCACGAGCTCGTCCTTGTGAGCGGCGTGCTTGCCCCCGTGGAGGTTGCCCCGCCGACGCAGCTTGCCCTGCGACTTCTCCACCACGTGCGCGCTCTCCTCGTACTTGTCCTTGAGCAGCTTGCCCACCTTGTCGAAGCTCGCCATGCCCCGCCAGCACGTCTTGACGGCGCACGAACCCGACACGCCGTGGCAGCGGCAGTGCGTCGTCATCAGCATGGAGGCCGCCTTGGCGATAAAAAATATACAAGCGCGCGGCTTAGTCGCGCAAGACGCTCGTCGTCGTCGTAATCTTATTTTAAATGTTTGCGGAGCGCCTCGGTTCGAGGCCTCGGTTCGAGGCGCTCTACGTCGTGTCAAAGCGGTACGAAAACAAAAAGAGAGTGATTTTGATGGCAAGCGGCGGTGCAAGGGCCGAGGAGTGAATGACCGCAAAACAGAGGGCGCGCGGGGATCACGAAAGGGCTGTAGGGGAGGGACGGGACGGAGTGGAGGGGCGAAGGGAGCGAAGAAGGTGGGCAATGGAGAAGAGGTGGTGAGGCTTGAAGAGAGAACGAGATTAAGGAGGGGAGCTGCTTAATGCACAGGGGGAGTTGGTTCCAGTGGTAGGGTGTGTGGGGTCTACCGTCCCCCGCCATCACCGAATTGTCGGGGCCGCTGTCCCCCGACTCCCCCGTTACATTCATACCACTACCCCCCGTCTGTTCTGTGGGGTTCGGGTTACCGACCCCCAACTCCTCGCCCCCCTGCACCCCTGACTGTGTTGTCGACCGCGTAAGCATGACTCAATTAGTGGGCTTGTACGCTTTACGCTTGCGGCGCGCTACGCGGGTTCAGTGGCAGCGTGCTGCGGTGAGCACGCTCGCGAAGCAAGACTCCATCCCGCACGTGAACAAACGGGTACAGCACGCCGATGCGTGACTCCCGTACGCAAACAAATGGGTACGGTCCGCCGACGCGTGATTCCCGTACGCAAACAAATGGGTACGGTATGCTGACGCGTGACTCCCTCACGCACACGCTCTACGCGCCCAGGCAATAACAAACCCGACGCCGCTACCTGCCCAGCCTCGTACACCAATCACACTCGAGGGAGTTGAGGTCGGGGGTGAGAAGGCAAGGGCGTCTGCCGTGCGCGCGCCGCTGATTGGGGGGAGTCACTCCGCTCCGATTTAAAGGGCCGTTTAATCAGCCGCGCGTGTACGCGCACACCAGGCGCTTAGCTCTCTGCTTCGCTATAAACAACCATGCGTGCACGCGAACGCAAGGCGCTACACTCCCTTATTCGCCGCAAACAGCCGTGTATGAGCGCGAACACAAAACTCTCCACCTCCCTCTTCGCACTCACAGCGATCACGATACAGTTTTATTCTCTATTAGCGGTTTTATTCCCCGCGAATATCCCGCTAAACTACGTCTGTTCGTGTGAGTCAGCAGACCCTAACTAGCCTATCCTTCGGGAATCCTAGGCTCAATCTATCCTGCCTGGCGCTTCCCTGTCCAATCAGAGGCCGAGACATTCCTGACCCTTTGACATTCGGATCCCTAATCCTACCTATATCAAAAGGCATTCAGTTGCTCCCGCACCCGTGCCACCCTGTCCATTCAGAGGCCTGGTTATTCCTGTCCCTTTGTTATATGGATCCCTAATCCTACCTATAACAAAGGCATTCCGATCCGTACCCCCCTTGGCCTCCTGCCCAATCAGAGGCCCAGATTTTCCCGCCTTTTCGGTACTTTGATCACACTCTAGTGACGTCAGCGTGGTGGTTTCTTGGACGTCCGCTCTCCGTTCTTCCCGCTATCGGCCCACTGACTCGTGCTTGTGCGTGTCCGGTTTCACTCGCGGTGGCTCAACGGCCTCCGCCGTGACCACGTAACTTTAATATCAGGTCACGGCGGCCCGGTGCATGTCAGCCTCGGGGGTAAATCGCCCAATTTCCCGGTCGCAGGAAACCATGAAGCTTGATCCCATTAGGGGTTTCTGGATAAAAACCTGTCGGCCAGGTGACCTTCCCTCCCGGCTCTACGTGGGGTGTGTGTGCATTCATGTGGGGGGGGGGGGGGGGGCGGCGAAGGGCGCGCCGCGTCGGCGCCGTCACTCCATAGGTGGCGACGTCACGGCGGTGGGCACGGCCCCGACGGAGCGGCTCCGCTCCGGCGGCACCACAACTGTGTAGAGGGTAAAAAGCGGAGGTCTGAGAGAGCACCGGCCTCGGGAGAGTGGCGGGAAATCCGAGGCACCGGTGGCGGCGTCACGGCGGTGGGCACGGCCCCGACGGAGCGGCCCCGCTGCGGCGGCACCACAGGTGCAACGAGAAAGGAAGATCGAGAACGGGATTGGGCAGAGGGACAGTGAGAGACATCGAGAAGATTGGGAACGAAGAGGAGGACGAGGCGGGGGACATGAAGAAATGAGAGAGGCGAGACGAGGAGTAGGGGAAGGGGGGCAAGGCCATGGAGAGATTTACAGACGAGCGTCATGTATTTTTTTTTTAAAGACAGCGGTGTAGTGAATGGGAAAGCCAGTGGAGCTGACAGAGAAGAGGCATTGTCGCACTCTCGGCTGGATGAAGACCTCCCCCCCCTCGTCCCTCCGGTGCTGCTACCAACCAATCTGGCGAAGCGCACGGTGCCCTCATCTCATCCTCCACATGTAGAATCGACATCACTCGTTTAGAGTATTTGTCTGTTGCAATACATGTCCACGCGATACGCCACTTCGTTGAGCGACCATTTGTGGCCAGGTCGCTTCTGAAAAAGGGCTACGATGTATAGCTGAGTGGGTCTTACCTGGTGAAATAAAATAAAAAATAGTTTAAAGTTGGCAAGAACTGGAGTCATTGACCTGCCCTTGCACAGATAACTCGAGAGAGAGAGACAGTATTATGCAAGCCGGTTTGATGGCCTGTTTGGACATCTGAAAAAAAGAGTTTTATCGCTCAGGTGGGCCTTACCTGCTAAAATAAAATGAAAGAAAATAGTTTATTTTTAGCTCGGTCCGCAAGCGGGCATTAATAATCCTGCTGGTAGGGGATGGAGGGGGGGGGGGGGGGGAGGTGGGGAGTGGGGAGCGGCGGAATCGCTGTTATCTCGCGAGCAAAGGACGGAACATCCCGGACGAATCCCTCACCTGCCGGCCCGCCTCCACGTTGTGCAGGTTCATCAGCGCGTTGTGGCCGCCAGCGGCGCTCTCGGCAGCGTCCACGAATTTGCGGCCGAAGGTGAGACCGTAGCGGATGTCGTCCGAGCAGCCGCCCCACTGCCAGCCCTCGCTCTGCGAGCCGCCCTTCAGCGAGGCGTCGCACGAGCAGCCCGAGACTTCGCCCGCGCTGCAGCCGCGCGTGATCGAGTAGACGAGGCCGGCGCTCGCCACCGCGTAGATGAACGCCGTCTCTCGCGAGCCTGGCCGTCGTAACGTTGGTGGGGGCGCGGGCGGCGGGGGCGGCGGTCAGAATTATAATCTTTGTTTAGACTGGAGGAGGAATCCGATGAGCTATGAAGCTCTTTTTTTCTCACTACTCGTGCAGTAGGGGCAAAATTGAACAAAAAAGGTCAGCAAGTCACGCATTCTCTCTTATTATGAAAACATAAATAAAGGTCTGTATATAAGTACAAATTCCATAGGTACATTAATTCCTGCCACTTTTTCAACACTAAATGCAAGCTTGGGGCAAGGTAGCAAAACAACAACAACGAAACCAACAACAGTCCCAGACCACACCAAGACACCAACACGCAGCGGGCACTCAGTACAATTGCACATTCAATTAATGGCACGATTGATACACGGCGTGTCAAAGTTACGAATCACATCGCAATCACACTGTGGCTGTATCCGGCACCAAAGTAATCTGCTGCTTCAGGCCCAGGGGGAGACCACCGGGAGGGTCGAAGCGCTCCACGCTGGTCGCCGTCACGGCGCCAACCGGCATCGTGGTCCACATTTTGTGCCAACTTCGAAAGGATCAACCGCGCAGATTGCTCAATGAGTATTGCACTCCCCCCCCCCCCCCCCGGCTCAACTGCCTGAATTTGGTAGGACCCGCCTAAAAAATTAGACGTGAGAATCAGTGAGGATTTCCTGGGCAAACGAGCGGGGCGCCGCCATGGTGACTCGGAGATGTTAACTACCTCGCCTGGTATACAGGAAGTCATGGTTTCGATCCCGGACCCTGACGCCTGTATATTTGGAGTTTGCGGTGTCTCTCTCCCCGTGGTCGCGTGGATTTTACCCCGGATCCTCCGGTTTATGACCACGAGTTTAGGGTATTTGGCTGCTGTAAATTTCCACGTGATAAGCCGTTGAGCTATCATTTGTGGCCAGGTCACTTCTGAAAAAGAGCTTTTTAGCTCAGTGGGCCTTACGTGGTGAAAACAAAACAGTTCATAGAGTGTAATAAAAAAACGACACGAATACCATTCCTAAATATTGAAAGCCGCCTGACGAATCCCAAGAAAGTCACCGTATTTTACGAGGTCGGTTATTCGAATGCCGCTCAGCAACTCGGAGACGCACGGTGGCGTACTGAACGTGGCAACATTTTTTTCAAGAGGCAAAGGTGCAGCCCTGCAATTGCTTGCGCATGCCAACTGCCGGCAGGAGGTTGCGCCACCTGGGGGTGCTCGAGAGGGTACCTCTAGAGCAGGGGTCGGCAAACCTGCGGCTGCGGAGCCGCGCTCGGCTCTTTAAAGTCTGCTGCGTGGCGGTTATTAATTCACGACCGTCTCGTATTGCTGTCACGTGGATTGCGGCTCTTGAAAATTTGAGTTTGTTAACGGATTCAAAAAAAATGTTGGTTAACGGATTCAACAATACTGTTAGTTTAACGGATTCAACAAAAATGTTAGTTTGTTCGTGGATTCAAGAAAAATGTTAGTTTGTTAACGGATTCAACAAAAATATTAGTTTGTTAACGGATTCAACAAAAATGTTAGTTTTATTTTATTTGCTACCCTACGTGACTTTATCGAAAGAACCAAAGAGTATGTTTGCTAACGAATTCAACCTAAATTTTAGTTTGTTAACGAATTCAACAAAAAAAAATGCCTCTTCTTGTCCTTTTCGTTTCCCTATTCTTGCACGCTGGCCAGGTGTCTTGGAAGAGGTGACAGTACCCACACTTTACCTCACCAACGCGCTCTACCCCATTTATACCGCTGGATGTTAGCGCGTCAACGGTCACACTGGGCTATCCAACCGGTCGGCCTCTCGATTGCAAGTCCGGCGTTTGGCTCTCGCTGGAATCGGCGCTAATCGCTTTGATGATGGAAAAAAAAAAACTAAAACTAAATTTTTCGTCGCGAGTTAAACCCAAAAGGCCGCTGAGTTGGCACGGCTGTGTTAGAGTCCCACATCTCTGGTGCAACGAAGACAGTGGCTGGTGCCAGTGAGGTGGCCTAAAGTGTGTCGTGCTAAAAAATGTTGCGTTGCGTGCATTAGATGGCCTCTTGTCATTGGAACGTTGAATGTATAAAACTAAAACCATTAAATATTTTTTTTTTATTTTACCAGGTTAAGGCCCAACTAAGCTATGTAGCTCTTTTTCAGAAGCGACCTGGTCACAAATGATAGCTCAACGAAGTGGCTTACCACGTGGAAATGTATTGCAACCAAATACTCCAAACGCACGTTGATTCTCAATGTGGAGGGAAACAACCGGAGGAACCAGACACAATTGCACGCGACCACAGGGAGAGAGACTTGTAAACTCCAAATATACAAGCGTCAAGGTGAGCATCGAACCCACGACCTTCTGCAAACCAGGCGAAGTAGTTAACATCTCGCCGCCCGCATCAGAGCCGTCGATGGAGGCGAGCGATTGTCCCACAATCGTTCGAGCGGCGGAGAGACACTGTGAATCTTGATGCGCTCTCGTCTAACACAATGACTGACTCACCCGAACTGCACCCAGACTCGTCCGATGTGCAAGCTAAGCAGGCCCGTGCCTGGTTGGCAGTCGGATGGAAGACTACTTTTGAATGAGAGGCGTTGCCGGCTTGGGCTGTGTGCAAGGTAACCAGGAGAATGCAGTACAGCAGTGGGTTTAATCTGAATGTGCGGATGTGTGAGTCTTGTCAAATGGTTGTACCCTGACAACTCAGGTTTCTTCCTAACACTCAATCAAGGAATTGGTCCAATATCATCACGATGCAGGCCCTTCCCGAAAATAACCTTGAGACAAAATCTATGTTTTCTTACCAAGGGCCCACTGAAGCCACCTGGCCATCATAAATTATAGCTCAACGAAGCGGGCGGCTTCTAATGTGGACATTTATAGCAGCCAAATACTGTTAAAATCACTCTGAAGGTGCCCGACATCGCCTGATCTTAGAAGCTAAGCAGCTCTGCAGCCTGGCTAGTACTCGGATGGGGTAGACTGCACGGTGATGCCAGGCGTGAGGTGGCCCGGAGATGGCGGTACCGATTATTTAATCTATCTGTGCATAGCCTTGGAGCATGCTCCCATCGTATGTGTGTTTGTATGTTGAACTTATTTTGCACCGTGTACGTAGCCAACAGTGTGGATGTAAGGCACCGTTTCAAAGTAGTTTGAAGAGAGCCGCCAGTCTACACGGAACAAAAACGTCCTATGGGGGTTGTTTAATGATCGTCCCACATTCGACTGCATTCGTCTAGGCCGGCGGACTAGAGAGTTATTATCATGGGACCTTTTTTGGCCAAACTCAAAGTATGAAGAATAAGATTCCTTGCGAAAGCTATCTATGTGGTGTTTCGACATCCTAAACCCTGTTTTCATTGCCAGAAAGGGTAAAACCTATTCTTTTTTTTTCGTACGGAGAGTTGTTAGTCGCGCTGCTTGGGGAAGCGATGACACAGCTCACTAACTTAAACACGAACATATCATTTACACAAAGATACTTGTCATTCACACAAAGATACTTGTCATTCGCTAGGCTAGCAGAAAACTACATTGAACCGGAGATACGGATTATTTAGACATACAATACACGTGGCATATCCCCACTGCACACATAGCATATACACACTAAATACACATCGCATATACTCACTGCATACGTGCAGCATATGCACCCGGTATACAAACATGGCGTAAGACACGGTATCACGAATAGAAAAATGAACATTCAGGGAATGTTTGGAGACATTCATGAAGAAGACTGTACAGTTGGGCTCAGGATAAATACGAGCAGGACAAAAGTGGATGTTCAGCAAGTTCACGAAACAATTAAATATATCATTGTAGGAGTGGCACAACTGGAGATCGCTCGCCTTCGTCCCATTTCACTTTCGCAGCAGCAGCGGAGATCAATCTACACCGACTCTCAAGAGTCACTGAATGTCCCCCCTCCCCATCTCTTTCTTAAAGGCCCCACATCTTTCTTAAAGGCCCCACTTATTTATTAAAGGCTCCACCTCTTTCTTAAAGACCCCACATCTTTCTTAAGGGCCCCACTGATTTCTTAAAGGCTCCGCATCTTTCTTAAGGGCCCACATCTTTCTGAAAGGCCCCACATCTTTCTTAAGGGCCCCACTTATTTCTTAAAGGCTCCGCATCTTTCTTAAAGCCCCCACCTCTTTCTTAAAGGCTCCACCTCTTTCTTAAAGGCTCCACGTCTTTCTCAAAGGCCCCACTTATTTCTCAAAGGCCCCACTTATTTCTTAAAGGCTCCCACCTCTTTGCTAAAGTCCCCCACCTCGTTTGCGTGGCTTTGTTGAGTGGCATTGAGCTTGACTCGGCGCTTCAAAGCCACGGTGATTTATATCTGTGTAATATTGTACGTGGTACGAATTGTATAATTTTTATCGCTATTGAAGGCGGACTGGGATCAAAACATTTTGAAATAAAGAGGCTGCCGAGATGAAATTTGGGTGCCTTTGGAAAACTAAACTTAACAATCAAAATATGATGCACATGAGTCACAAAATGTTTTAAACGGCACACTGATATAAATTGTACGTATGTATGTTGAACCTCTTTCACACCGCACGTTGTCAACCGTGCTAATCGGAGGTGCTAATTTAAAATAACCATGGGAATATTGCGCTAAAAAAAGGATAACTTAATCATCTACGGTTATCAAATTGGTCACTGTAGACATCGAGTGATTAGTTCATGGACAGAAGTTATATTAATTGTGGTTTCGCAAGACTATATATATGGTGGATGTTCACAGCACGGGCAGGCTTTTATCCAGCAGTTGACATTTAGTAACAGTAAATCAGACTTGAAAAAAATGTTTCTTGGTGAACGCTTTAAAGGTGAACGTTAGCGGCTCGGTTTGAGAGAGGCCAGGCAGCTGGTTGCAGGAGAGAGGCCGCGATGGCGATCGTTGAGGTTTCATTTTTAAAATAAAGAGCACGTAAGAAATGAAAAACATGATTTTGGACTGTTTAAGCCTGTGACTTGTGTGGATTTTGTTTTCGAAGTCAAGTCGCCACAACCAATCATTGGCATGACAGTCAACATTACTAGCTGGTCACCATTGAACAACAATACATATGATTTCTACATAGGAAACATGTAAAACGTATTAGTGTATGAGGCACAGAATAAGCAGTAGATTAAATAATATTCCATATAGCTCGTTCCATGCTGTAATATACCCATTTTTGTGAGTGTGTGTTGTGTGTGTGCGTTGGCAGTGGTGTGGTGAAGCGGTAAGTGAAACTGTTACGGCCCTGCGCTACGAAACCGGCGACTCAAGTTTGATTCCAGCTCACGGCCAACACCAGTGACGATTATCTGTATTGGTCCTGGGCTTCCCTTAGGTCGACTCAGTCTCAAATGGGTACCTGATGCGGTGTGTAAACATCGCCACTGGCGAGACAAAGGCGGCCGGGCGTGGTGCTGGCCACCCACCCCCTCGTGTGCCGTGCCGGCCTTCATAGGTGCTCGCAAACAGCAACTTGCCCCAACAGTCTGTTACAGGCTATACGGGGAATCTTTGTTTTTTGGCAATGGTGCACAAGTATAAATCAAACAAACTCTAACAAAAAATACCCTTTGGTTAATTCGGTAAAGTCACGTAGGTATAACATAAATTAAATTAAATCGCAATTATTTTATACCTACGTGACTTTACCGAAAGAACCAAATAGTATGGATCCCTGCAGTCACGAAAACTTCAAATCTAGATCTAACAAAAAAATGTCAATAACATTGTTGTAAAAATAAATAAATGGGCTTATATAAGACGCAATTGCCCTTCTTCCTCCTGGCAGAGCCATGGAAGAAATAAGAGGACTCCCAGCTGCGAAGCTGCATACGTTTTAACGCGTACGCGACTACCAAAAGTTCGCTCGATAACCAAGCCCCCCGCCCGCCCGCCCCTCCGGACGGTCAGTCACTCACCGCGAGTTAGTTCTTGTCCAAACACCGAGTAGTCGCTCGTCGTCGAGCAGTTCCACCGTTCCTGTTTAAACTGACTCTGGCACTCCTGGATGGCCGTACGCGCTCCCCGCTGAATGCTGCCCAGGATGTCAGGCTTCTGCTTGCAAACTTCGATTTGCCGGCTCGGCAGTCCGGGAATTTGCGAGCAGCCCAGCTTCTCTGGGAGTCTGGCCGGTAGCATTCCCAGCCACCTTTGGAAGTTAACCCCAAACAAAATGCAATTACGTCCATAATCGGAATAAAGTATTTCGTAACGCCCGTTAGTGCGATTCACCAATTGTTACATTTTGCAGGCATGTTGTTCATTTCCCAGTTTCCCCCATGCCAACGGACAGAACATTTAACGTCCAGCATCCACAGCCGCCTTGGTAAATAAAAAGCAATTACAGCCTCAATCGAAGTTACTGCATAACGCAAGAGAGATTTATGAAGCCATCCTCTTTTCAATGTTTACGATATTTATTAGATTTTTTTTCTCCATTCACCCCTCCCGCCCCTGCCCCCCCCCGCCCCCCCAAGAATGTTTGTACTTACATTCTGTCTTCCAGCCACTTTCAGATCATAAAAAGCAATTACAATCTCAATCGAAAGTAAATCCATAAGGCACGTGAGATTCATCGAGCTGTGAATTTGTTACACTTTTTGTTAAACGTATTTTTTTTTATCAGTTTTTGTTTGTTATTCAATCCCCCCCTATTGCCCCAAAGAAGACGCGAACGCCCGTCGTACTCACATCCAGCTACCACTTGAACAGCGAACCAAAAGCATCGCGATCGCGATGATCGGAGCATATCTCCGGTCGATCCCGCAACGTCTCGCCATCTTCGTAAAGATCCTCCGACTCGCCTCTCCGTACGTCGTTTCAACTTCTCGCTCGAAGAAAAATAAAAGCGAACGGTGTGCCCGTATTTTGAAAGTCGGTCGCAAACACAAATTATTATTTGTATCTAATTTTCCTTTTCCCCCCCGCGCCACCGCCCCCACGAAAAAAAATCCAAATCGTGGGACAACGCACTCGCTCGCACGAGTTTCTGGAAAGGACGTTCAGCGTCGCCCTCCCAATCGGCAACTCCTGTGGTCGCGCGGTGCTAGTTTGGACAGTTTTTATGCTCACACACCACACACACGCACATCTATATAAAACCTCTTCATTAACGCTGCTGCCGTCCCATCAGGATCTCGAGGAGCCAAATGCCCCGTGCCGCTTGGCTATGTTGTATTTAAAAAAGAAAAAGTGGCGTTTTTGGGAGAAAAAAAATGAGACAAATTAGTGGGCATCAAACGCTTTTCATGATCCTGACAGGCTGTTGATGGATGGCGGTGGCTCCCACTCAAACGTCCGTGCGTGACTGGTATATGGAAATGGGGCAGCGCCTCAACCCACCTTGTGTACTCGCGAGATCGTGTTTATTGTATGGTGCGGATGTCTGTACACAACAGGGGCCAAAACAATGTCTAGTTTCACACAGGATCTTGTGTTTCCTGCTGTTAAAAAAGATGTTTTGGGTTTTTTTTGTGGTTGTTGTTGTTTTTAAAAAATAAAATGCTGATGTCGCTCACATCACGGGCTATTTTAAATTTGTTTGATAGATATTTAGCCGTTACATTAAAAAAAAGGTTGTTACACACTTCAGTATGGTTGAAATTTATAAATTGTGTGATTCGGATTATTTGCCCACTTTGATGGGTAATTTCTATAAAATGTAAGAGCTTGTGCAACATCTTATTTTGGAGATGAATCTGTTGGCTCAGTGGTGAGTGCACTGCACAATGAACCCAGTGGCCGTAGTTAAATTCCTAGCCATGGCTAACATGAGTACCGAGTGATATCTGAACCGGTCTTGGAGGGGCACCAACTCCAACAACCCTAATTGACCAGAGTGGTGAATTATGCTCAAACAATCCCCATGACCAACATGGTATTCATCCAGCAGTGGATTGAGAAAAGGGATATGGATAATTATTTTTTATTCAGGACAGTCAGCTCTAAGTACAACACATACATTAATTTTCCATAATATTCCATGCATTTTTTGCATTTCACTTGCAGAATTAAGTTAATGATGATTGAGTTTACATGATTAATATCGCATATCATTACTCGAGAACACGTCAAAAGGCTTGAAAAATGCAGTGGCATGCACTTTCAAATATATATAGAAAATATATATTGGGAAAAAAATATTCCAGAATGTATTTGTATTTATGTATTTTCGTATTCAAATATCCCACTAATGTAATATGAATTTCACCCGTATCTATCGATTTATTTTGAAAATATGATGCAAGTTTTTTTTTTTCATGAGGAATCCCCCCCAACCCCTCCTCCATTCATCCACCCAGTAGCCAACCGCACCGTACGTATCCAGCCACGCTAACCTCCGATTAGCATGGTTGGCTACGTACGGTGCAAAAGAAGTTCAACACACAAACATTTAAATGGGCAGGTTGCGTGTAGTGGGGTAACGGGTGCATAAGCCCATCTCTTCAAAGGTGATCTGGTTTAGCTCAGAAAAGTAGGCCAAATACCCTCTTACGGTGCCGTAAGAGGGTATTTGGCCTACTCTTAGATCTCCCCCGCTAGTAGAAGCCCATACACTGGCGGTTGGCTTGGGAAAGCAATTGCAGGGATGCACCTTTACTGCTGTTAACTAATTTACCTTGCCCGTTATTTTTAACCAATCATCTTTGGGCATCTCGTTCCATTAGATGGCACGCGATTTTTACAACTGTCACTTTTATGCACACCCTGCTGTTGATTCGCATCGCTCTCAATGCACGTAACTTGATCTGCTGTCGCCCTGCGGGGTTTTTTTGTGGTCTCAGTCCCCACATCTCCTTTCAATCTTTCCCGCCCTCCCTCTCTCTCATCTCAGTTGCGTCTCCTCCTGGCTGCGCGGTGGCTATTGGGAGAGGCACTTGAGATTGGGCCGAGACAGACACTGAAATTCAGTGGAGCAGACCAGGCGTGTGTGGGTCGTGGCTTGTGTACCGGTTTCTCCCCCCGCTCCGTTTATAACCCTGGCGGCTTCTCAGCCACGCGAGACATTCTGCATGGACACGCAACCTCTCATAAGCAAACAGTCACAGAATAACTGAACAGGAATTTTCTTGTTTCGGGACACCAAAAGACATTTAACAAACCAGATTACTTTCGGCCACATACCGTCTAATCCATACAGAGGCCACATGTAAGAGGCATGTTTAAGAAAGTGATTTTTTTTATTTTATTTTTGGAATCTTATGGTGCAGTGTGTGTGGCTTCCACACAAAAAAACGCGTGTTATTTTCTACGAATCCAGCCGTACAAATTACGTGTTATCCGTGCTTCATATGATAAGTACGAGGCAGTGCAGAAAGTAGGGTTCTGACCAGTTCCCTCTCCGGAGGATGGACTGTGTAGTGCGTTCTTCTGGTACGCCAGCTTCCACCCACACACTAGCAAAATATTGTTAGAAAAAGGTCATTGGACTTAAATTCCAAAGCAGGGCTCTCCTGAAAATATAAAGAATCGTTCTAAGTTTTCTTTTACTAGACGTGTTTTCTAGGAAAGAGGTGCCTTTTGCGTTATGAGAATTCAATATGTAAGTGCGTGGCTTTACATTCCTTCTGAAGGGGCCCACGGTATATTCAGACGTTAGAATCGCGTTTAAGTCGCGTTTTTGTATCCGTTGAGTATTTGCTCTTTGACGAGCTGATAATTTTTCAATTTAAGCCTGGTTACCAAATCCTATCAGCGTCGTGACCTCATCTAACATGAAGGTGCCTAACATCTCGTCAAAGATTACAATCTGTGTAGGGTGGAGTGCAATTAGTGCTGTTGTTGGGAAACTGTCTGCCAATGTCACGTGGTGTAGGCTTAGGCTGTGAGGTGGTCAAGAGATGGCAGTAGAGCAGTGGATTCTTGAATCCAATCCCGTAGATTTTATGTTTGTTTTGTATTTCTCTCCACCAGAGTGGGTTTTCTCCACATACTCTGGTTTCCTCTTCCACGCAACCAAAATCTCATGAATGGAATTGGCCAAACAGGCCAAAGTGGCAGGACCACCCTGAAAAAAGTATTGAGACTCGGAGAAGAAGTCAATTAAAACTGCATGTTTAAACAATATATTTTATTTGCTCTTATTCAAGTGACCATAATACAGTAATGCAAATAATACAAAGTGGCATTGTAATATACCTGTGTCGTAAACATATTGAAAATGGAACACACAAAACGCTCTACTGATGTCGCTTTTACAAACCCGTCACCCCCTCGCACGCACAAAAGGTCAGTGCTTAAACTCTGCGTGTGTACAATGATGTCGGAAATAATTCACAATGACACATTTGCAGCCCTTCGTCAATCCACTGATGGCTGAGCCCCCCCCCCCACGCCAGCGTCAGTCGTGGGGGTCATTTGACCGTACTTCACCACGCTAGTTTGGAGAGGTCACTTGGTGGCCCAGCACCAGGTCAGATTATGATTCACCCCCCCCTCCGCCCCCCATTCAGGATTCTACGAATTGCCACAATTCAGGGTCACGATTCAACTCACGAATCATTTCTCCTGTCCCCGTGCGGTGCATATCATTATTATTATTGTGCTTGTTTACCCAGGGTGGGCATATAATCCGTAAGAAGTTGTATGTTTCTGTGCACCAATCACATGAATCAATAATTTGGAAATTACCGATTGTAACACGCATGATTTGATCATTGGCTGGACGTTGATTTCAGAGGTGGCCGGGATGTTCTGTGGTCAGAGACACCGAGCCAGTTCTCCTGAGATCAATGTGTTTTTTTTATCTGGGTTTCAGCCACGCATGACTCAAGCGAGTTCTCAAGTTTAGTGAGTTGATGATCTCAGTGTGACTCAGCAGCGATGCACAAATTTGACAATTCTCTTCATTGAGCACAGGTCTGAGCGTGACATTTTTTTTGTTTGGCTGACATGAGAGGTCACTTGGAAGGGATCTAAGAAGGAGTTCTGTGACATCACGTTCCACAGGCCGTTCTCTAACTCGTGCCTGCTATGCAGGGGCTCTTCGTGGACATTTCTTCTTCCCCTCCCCCACTGAGACCGACAGCTCAAATTCAATAAAACATGGGGGGGGGGGAATCTACAAATAAGAACACATTTTCATCTGAATATTTCAATCGTGTTTTTTTACGAAAATCATCATGAGATTTATTAACCATCGATGTTGTTTTCATGTTGTTCAATGGCAAAGGTAGACTCTGAAAGAGTGGCACTGGATTATTATTTGTGTCATCCCAACCAAATGAAAGTGGGCCATAGGATGGATGGCGCTTAACAGAATTTAAGCACTGACAAACGGTTGTGCCTAGACTGTTTCTGATACGAATCCATTCCATAGGCAGTGAAGAAAGATACGAACTGCTGCATTTAAATATAGTGCAATAACAAAACCTATTACATTTCACACCAGATTCATTCTTTATATGATATCAGCCTACCCCGAACTAAGTAAAAGTCAACATTATTGACCCACAGTTTGGGAGGAACAACTTTTTTCTTTAACAATAAATGTAGCACATTTAATGCCAGAGACCATAAAAAATGTGTTTCATATGAAAATTTTAGATTCGTTATTCGTCAAATAAAATACTCTTTTACGTGATTATCCATTAACATTTCCTATGCATGCAGGTATGTTTAAGAGAGTGTCTGCCGTTATTTCTGCTGTAATTTTTAAGTAAATAATTACATATTGCATGCATTTTCACACGTAAAAAAAGGGATTATAGCTTTTTGTTTGTGCCAGCAATAAGTCAGTGAAATTATTCATAGCCCATGACACAACCTTTTTGTGGAGCTGTTTCTATAATTCTACGATTAAATTTACCCACATTCTGTGCCTGCATAGAATATAAAACGTAAAAATTGTTTTTGACGATTCTATGTATGCATTAAAAATTAACTAACCCCTATCGGCTACAGCATATTTATTATCGCGAGAAAAATGTGAAGAAACACGAAATAATAATTAAAAACATGTACAGTCCTTATCAATCCACTGCTGGATGAAGGCTTCCCCATGTAGTATTAGTCATGGAGGGCGGGGGGGGGTACATGACCACACTTCGCCAAGCCGGTCTAGTGCGGGTTAGTGAATGAAAGTGGGAGATTGTCATGTGACCGCAGTTACAAATATCGCCTGCCACTGATGCTAGCCGTGGCTGGGAAATCGAACTCGTAAGGTCGTCAGGCTCACAGTGCAGTGTGCTAACCACTGTGCTGCTGCTCTGCCCAAAGGTGGCATTCATAGGCTAAGACGAGAATGTCACAATATGCAACGCTCAGTCCTTAATTTCAGCCGCTCTGGAACGCTGCTCGGGGAATTATTGCGGCTCCGCATCACCTTATTTTGTCCTCATAGGATTATAGGCCGAGCAATGTAGGATTGTAATGCATTGCAATGTGCACGTTGCACTCTGGTGGTAGTGCCTTACGCCAATGATTTCTTAACGCCAAGCCGGCCCTAAGCAGCGTTCCGGAATATGTTTGCGTGGGAGACGAAGTCCTGGCGATGCTTCATGCAAGAGAAGGAGAAAAGAAGCACATCGCGATGAAGTACGTCAGAGAATTATAGAACAACACGAAGGCAATGTTATACCGTGCAAAAAAAATATTTATACAAATTCACAACAAAAAAATATATCTGAAAACACAACACTGTAGTATAAATTCATTATTGTTCATTACAAAGGAAAGTGAAAGCGTGAGACGTACAATTATTTTCACTGTCGAGTATTTAAAAACGCAAACAATGCACCATGGCTGGGTCTCCACATTCCACGTCGTTTGGAAGAGCACTATTCAATTATCTATTCCTTTAAACAATTTTGTGGGGAAATTGAAAGGATGAATAATACAAAACTCTTAACATCCGTCCAAAAACACCTATCCTACTCATGAACACAACAATAGACCGTGTGTGTATATATAGTCAAATAAATGCATTTAGAACACAGTGACATCAGTTTTAAGTTCAAATAAGATCAACGTGGCGGATTCCAACCAACAACAGCTGTTAGTGATCAAAAACAACGTGTAAATCAGAGCACGCCATGCCAGTCCACCCAGGAAACATGCAACGTTGGAAAAGTGGTTGGAATCGTAGGATCAACGCTGGGCCAATGTTCCGTGTTTCCTTGGGAAGTGGCCATTAAACCGGTAAGTTACAATTCGGCTTTGGATAACAGAAAGCCACTCAAATGAATACATGCTAATTCAAATGAGCAGAGTTATTTCACCAGATGTTTTTTTTTACTTTATGTGAACCCAGGTAAGTATAATTAATTGTGACGGGAATTAGGCAGCGCAAGTGTTTGTTCTTGTAAAGATAGTTTGGTACTGCTATGGCAAGGCAAGTGTAGCCAAGACACTCGCTGTATTCTCCGGAATATGACGCAACTTTTCCATCTTGTATTTTAAACGTTGGCGGTGCGTCTTATAATGTGGAGAATATTTTATTCAAAAAACACACGTTTCCAAAAATAATACACAGAAACATACCTGTTAACCCATACGGTTTACCCGTATTCCATACGACGTACGGCCATTTCAATACGGGCAAAACAATTTTTGTCTATTTGTTTGTGTTTCTCCCTTGTGATGGGACTTTGTAGGATGAACGTTGAGATTTATAAGAGGCACGGGGTGACCAATAAGGTCTGAATTGGTCTGTTATAAGCTAGGGCACTGATACGGGGTTGACAGGTTTGTAGTGGTGAGTGTAGTAGTGGTGATTGTCTTTCTCCCTTGTGATCGGACTTAGCAGGATGAGCGTTGAGATTTATAAGGGGCACGGGGTGACCAATAAGGTCTGGAATTGGTCTGTTATAAGGATAGGGTGACTGATAAAGGGGTTTGACAGGTTTGCAGAAACGTACAGAGGACACACTGGCTGAGTGTTGATGATGTTGTTGTTGTTTTTATCGTTGCACGAGTATCTGCGATTGGGTTTTGAAACCAGTAGCGCTTGTCTCAAACCCTGGGGTTGACCCACCCCCACCCCACCCTCCGGTCTGTGACGTCACGCGACGGCTACCCCGCAAAGCACCATGGGTATTTCCAAGATGGCCGCGAGCAGCGTGTTGCCACGAGGCGACGTTCGTGCGATGCCACTGCAAGGCGGGAGGGAAATGTTTCACGCAGCCCAGACATAAAAGGTTTAGCCCCGTACGGTTTAATGACACGCGTCTCGTCACGCAGAAGTGTGTGTGTGTGTGTTGAGTGGCGCAAGGTGTTTAAACATGGAGGATAAATTGTGGTTTGTTGAACGTGCTCGCTTGCAAGATGGTCGATGACAATGGCTGCGTGTATCTTGTCTCTTCCTAAAGAATTCCACGCTTCGAGTGGTTTGAGGGCATCGCGGCACTTGGATGGGAGCCAGATGTGTACGCGTGGCAGGGAAGTGTTTCCACAACGTGCTGAATAGGATTTCATTCACTTCAGAGTTGAACTATGAAGCTCTTTACCACAGATGTACAATAAAGTCGCAGGTGTCCACTTCGTGAGACGTTGCAAATGTAACATTGGGCCATCGTACACCCTCGCCTCGGGCAGCGATGCACAAACAAGAATGACACCTTTTGTATTTGATCAAAAGCAGTGGTCCATGAATGGCGAAGCATATGGCTCCCTGTAGAGTACAGAATCGACTTTTTTAAAGATTCTTGTCACGTTTAAGGCCTTGCATGAGTTGGCTCCTCAATACTCTCAGCATAAGTTTAAAAATTCCACTGCGAAAACTTAGGTCTGCTGATTCTAATCTTCTCATTCCAAAGACCAGACTTTTGTTCTGTGGGAGACTTGATATTTTTTTCAGCCAGGCTCTGCAATTGTGAAATTTTCTCCCTCAGCCCATTAGTGAATGTGGGTCTGTTCCACCTTTTTTTTTAATTGCGTCTTGACACTCGCCTGATTTTAAACAACGCGCGTTCGCCATAACATACAGCTGGATGTAAATTCGCTTTTAGGCCTTTGTGCGAATTCCGCTATAATATGAAAAAGACCCGAGTTAATATTTCACATTAATAAGAGTCATGATCTTAAACATCGGCGTGTTATGCCGGCAGTGTTATTGACGAATGCGTGGAACCTGCGTCCAATTTAGGGTGCTGCAGTTCTGTGTATACTCTGGGTGTAACGATGCATACATTCATTAATATTGATGCTAGAGCTCATAAATACATTGATTCCTTTGAGCAGGAATATGTTGTAGTTGTGTGTGGTAATGGGCGTGTGTATGACCACCGTAGCAACTGGAAACGCTACCACTTATTGAAGAAGAAAAAATAACGAATCGTCTTCCAATTAAATCGAGGTCCTGGATCGCGACAATTCATTGAATTAACTGCGCTGGAGGAGCGGGTGTAACCCTTTTCTCCAGACTTTAAGACGCTCCGAAAAGTGAGACGCATCCCAAGCTTCGGGATCTTTCGTAAACAAAACAAAACATCCCCGGAAAATACGTCTCGGGATAGCAGAAAACGCGTTCGAATTGATATAAAACGACAAAGCAGAAAAAGCGAGTCGGTTAATACGGTGCATGGTGAGAGGTAATACAGGACAAACACCGGATTAAAAGACGCACCCCCAACTTTTGCTCTGCAACGCTTTAAAGCTGCTGCACATGAAACAATTGGGCCTTGTAATCTGGAGGTTACAGTAGTTAACACCTCCTTCGCTTATACCCATGGTGGTGCCATTGTCTAATTTGGTCTGCAGAAATCCGTGAAAAATACTTTTCACCTGGGGTTTAATTAAATTTGGCAGGGCTGATTGTAAAAAATATCAGGCAACCCGGTATTGTTTTCTCAGACGTCGTCGTCACCACGCATTATTTTGTTTTTTGTAAAACGAGGAAGCATTTAGCGTCACATTTTGCAACAGAAACATCGACGCAAAGGAACAAATATACAACAACGGTGCAACCGTATTATCCGGATTGTAAGACGCTGGAGCGAATTAGATGCGCCCGCTATAATAAAGTGATACAAATCCGCTCCCACCACACCAGATTGTGAGACGCGTCAAATGCATGGGAGCCCTGTAGCGTGACCTTGTTTAAAATGGTGGGCGGGGGGGGGGGTGCTGGCAGAGGCGCAGGGGGCAATTCAAAGACTCAGGTGAGCTCGGGGGGTTGGGGTCATGACATTTTAAACTTTAAACAAAATGCTCTCGCTCTCGTCCCACCAATGGTGTTAAATATTGCAACAGACGTTTTTTTTTTTACTTGACTCTTAAAAACATTCTAGAAGAGGGCACTGGGCCCTTTAGCAATGGTGGGAGTAGGCGGGGGGGGGGGGGGGGTCTCGGCCCTCTACAGCCCCCCAACCCTTGAATTGAACACCTCCATGTGAAGGGCAATCAAGATGTCACATCCGTCAAGGTGGTATGATGACTATAAAGGGTACCAGGCTTGACCAAAACCAATATCCGTAACTTTGTGTCTTCAAAGCCAAGGTCGTCAAATGACATTTCTAAAACAACGGAGGGCAAATTCAAAGTGTCACGGATCAACAGCTTTTCCTGGCTAAATGCAGTCGTTTGTTTTTTTAATTCCGCCGCGTGCTCTCCTTCCAAAGACGTCTTGAAGTTGCTGTGGTTTTACTTTTCTTCCAAAGATTCGACCTCTCCGCGAAAAAAAAACATAAATTGTTGTTGATCACGGTCGCTATTTAAGATAGACTCAAAACGCCAAGCGGGCCAGTAACCAAGAATACGATAATCCGATAACATAAAACCGTACCTAGTGCTGCTGCTGTGCCTTCTCCATCATCCTCTCGAGCCGCCTCAGTTTGTTGTACAGAGACTGTACATACGTGAAGACGCACTTGGAGTCCGGCTTCTTCCCCATCATTATCATGTCGTCCACGTCCAGGAGAGGGTCACAGTGGGCCAATTGCCTGAAAGTGACACGCTCGCGTGAGATGCCATCGGGCAGTACACGAAGACTACCTTTGATGTCGGCCCAGGACTCTATTGACGCCAGTGAAAACAGTTTTAATATGCAGCTTTGCTTCACACGTGTGGGGGGGGGGGGGGGTTGGACTTTGCAAAGATATATATGTTTAAATGTCTTTGTTTTCATGCATTTGAAGGTCTACTACCATTTTCTCACGCGACTTTTCTCAAGCCATATTTTTTTTTTCAGACAATAATAATCTTAGTGATTGCACCGCATAGGTAAGAGGTAAAGGTGCAGCCCTGCAATTTCCTGCCCACGCCAATTCCGGCAGAATGGCCTCCAAATAGAGGGAGCTCAAAGACAGCCCCTCTACAGATAATATTTGGCCAACCTTTCCACACTGGCACAAATGTCTTTGAAAGAGGTGGGATTTGCCCACATTCTACTCCACCTGGGTTACCGCAAGGTAGCCTTTTGGCGGATATCTCGCTGCCGATGGCAATGCGTCATCGGAGCCCTCCCGTGCACTCCCAATTCACGCGACTGCTCGCGAGGAGGTGCGTGACCCTGCAGCGCACCAAACTCTCCGTGTTTAATTTGCGCACATCCCAAGCGGCGGCGGCGGAATTGGACGCGGTGCGCTACCACCACGCCCTGTAGGCCCGCAGAGTTCCCCGTGTGCCTACAGGGAATAGTGTACGAATCTCACTCGGGGGAGCGTGGGCGGGAACGGCATTGTGATAAGTGTCATTCTGTTTTTTTTACCACTGCGTAGATTTTCTCGGTTGTGCCATGTACGCCACGGACGTGTTGTTGTTTTTGTCGGGTCATACCGCGTGCTGTTGTGGGGAGCGATAGTGTAGCTGTTAGCGCGCTGCGCAATGAACCTGGCGACCCGGGTTTGATTCCCGCTCACGGCCAACACCAGTGACGATTATCTGAACCGGTCCCGGGCCTCCCCAAGGTCGACTCAGCCTCAAATGAGTACCTGGTGCGGTGTGTAAACATTGCCACTAGAGAGACAAAGGCGGTCGGGCGTGGTGATGGCCACCCACCCCCTCGTGTACCGTTCCGGCCTTCATAGGTGCTCGCTAACAGCACTTGTCCCTACAGTCTGTTAAGGCTATATGGGGGATCTTTGTTCTGCAAGATGTCCGACGTTTCGCGCCACGTGCTGAGAGTTTCTTCAAGGAGCTAAATTTAGCAGCGCAACATTCTCCCTGGATATTTTTTGTTCGCATTGACACCAACACCAGCAGCAGGTAACGCTGTGTAATCGAGAGATAAGGTGAGTGGTAAAATGTGTTGACTAATAGAAGCTTCCAGCACGTGGAGCAGAACGTCGGACATCGTGGCGAACACCATGGTAGTACGTACAGCCCGAAAACGCACACACTGGAGAGTTATCCTCTCCGCTATGCTTCTCACTCGGAATAAATGCTCTGGTACATTCTATTCCCATCAGGATTTTTATGGTTTCAAATGTTGATGCGTTTTCACGGAAATATATATTTCAAGGAATGAAACTGCTTTCATGTGTTTGCGTAGAGGATGGCAAACTTTCCCGGAGGTTCAACAGCGAAGGTTCTATCATATTTAGAAACCACTGCACACTGCGGCGATGAGAATTTGCATTTTTTAAATAGATGGGTGACAATTGGCAATTTTAACGAGTGTCTCCTTTAGAAACACATTATTAGTTTTTGAAATGTCAGTTTTAATTGAATGTATTTTAATTATAAAAAAATATATATAACTTGAGGCGTCGGCGCCAATGTCAGGCACGGTGCGATGTGCCAGGCCTCGTTCTGTATTTACAAGGTGCGGTTCGATTTAAGATTATAATTAAATGTTGGAATGGGGTTTTAATTTTTAATTTCTTGTTACTGTGTCTTCCCGCACCATCAAGTCACTCTTTAATGTGAACTCTGGTCATCCTCGTAGCAGCGGTGGCTTTTGGATAGCCGCGTCGCGCGGCGCTTTCAGATGCGCGTCTGCGGAACGCTCTTCCTTCCGACCGCTTTTTGCGTATTTAATTTCTTGTCCTTCCTCCACACCTCCAATTAGCATAGTTGGCTATGTACGGTGTGAAATAAGTTTAATTTACATACTGTACACATGTAACATTGATAAGTCCTCCCCCCGGCTCACGGTTCCCGACGGTGGCGAGGAGCGTGATGACAAAGCGTGCGGAGGATACTCGGGATGATCACAAAGTGAGGACAGTTCGCCATGGCAGTCGCAAACATTCCTGCCATCTTCTGTTTTAGCGATTCGACGCTGATTCGATAACTCGTTACGCAGATTGTCCTTCGAGACAAATATCGAACGCAGAGCGCATTGAATGTACAGGTGAAGGTGCTGCACCGCATTCTTGAAAATCGCCAATCATCAGTGGTGGAACTTTTAACATGAAGTGAATGATTCAAAGCTTTCGTGACTACAGTAATTCATTTTCTTAGCTCTTTCGGTAAAGTCACGTTGAAGGGAAACAATAAAATAACAAAATATATATATAAAACATTAACAATTCTCACGACGTTTCGACCATAACACAAACGGTCGTCATCAGGTGTGTCGGTTTGCATAAATAAAAAAATGTAAACGGTGCATTTATTTATTTATAGTTTATTTAGAAGGACGAGTCCATCTATGTTCTGGAAAGAGGAGGGGGGAGACGAAAAAAATAATGTATGCTGTCTGAAAGCCACTGTAAGCGTGAACAATCAATTAAGACCTGAAATGGTTTATCAAATCTTTCCAATGATTGCTAAGCCAGAATCCATCTTCTTGGTTGAAATTGTCTCTGTGCTTGTATATGTGGATAGCCTCATGAACGAATCTCTCATGGTAGCCAGATGTCTTACAAAGAACCTCTGTCTTGGAAAAGTCGATGTCATGTGAGCCTACTGAATTATAACAATGATCTGCCACGGCCGAGGTGTTGGTCCTACCGTGTTTAAGGTCTGCTTTGTGTTCACGAATGCGGTCCGAGACATGGCGTTTGGTTTCTCCAATGTAACTACTACCACAGAGGCAACTTAGTTTGTAGACACCAGGGTACTGTATGTCCGGAATCACATCTTTTACAGACGGAACCAAATCACGGATTTTATGTAATGTGTTGAAACGGACCTGGATCTTGTGTTTATTCAAGATTTTGGAGATCTTTTTTGTGATCCCCGCAATGTAGGGTATAGTGATGGTTTTGAAAGGCTCCTCAAGAGGGTCCTTCTTCATGCTTTGAGTGATAACTTTGCGGATTGTATAGTCGGAGTAACCATTAGCCTTAAGAGCTTGGTGTACGTGCTTGAGTTTACTGCCTATGTGTTCCTGGTCGGATATGCTTTGGGCTCTATGATACAGAGTCTTGATGAGAGAATTCTTCTGTGATGGATGGTGGTGGGAATTTGGTTTCAGATAAGCATTCATATGGGTAGCTTTCCTGTAGACAGAGCGGCTCATTGAACCATCAGGTCTCTTTTTAATTAGGACATCCAAAAAAGGTAGCAATCATTGGAAAGATTTGATAAACCATTTCAGGTCTTGATTGATTGTTCACGCTTACAGTGGCTTTCAGACAGCATACATTAATTTTTTCGTCTCCCCCCTCCTCTTTTCAGAACATAGATGGACTCGTCCTTCTAAATAAACTGCCAAATCGCTGCACGTGGCGCTGACGTTTTTTATAAATAAATAAATGCACCGTTTAAAAAATAAATAAATTTATGCAAACCGACACACCTGATGACGACCGTTTGTGTTATGGTCGAAACGTCGTGATAATTTTTATTGTTTTATATATATTTTGTTATTTTATTGTTTCCCTTCAACGTGACTTTACCGAAAGAGCTAAGAATATGAAATGAATGATTTTTGTTAAAACAAAGACTGAATGGCTTGACGCTAAGTGGCTGCATACACGAACCATTCTAATTGAGTTGCGTTTTTTGAGGTGACCGCGTGCTCTGAAGGCCTACGCTACCTTCACATCAGAGCCTCAAGTTCATGCCACTGGCAGTAGGCAGCGGGCAAAAGCAAAGGCGCGGCCCTGCAATTGCTTACACCACTGCTGGTGGAAGGGCTTCCCCACAAGAGGGAGCTCAAGAGAGCTTCTCGAGAGGGCATCTGACCTACTCCTCCGCGCCGGCCATGTGTCTGTGAATAATCAGGAGTACCCACACTTCATCCCACCACACGCGACCTGCAGACTGGCTACCCACACTCGAGCAGAGTGTAAGAATCTATTTTTTTTCTTTTCATGGGTTTAGTTGTCCTTCCCCCGCACCTCCGACTAGCGTGGTTTACTAAGTACGGTGCAAAAGAAATTGAACATATATAGACATGCACCTCCGATTATCACGGTGGCTACGTACGGTGTGAAAGAAGTTCTACATACATATAAAATGCATAGTTTGCTGTCCTTCCCCCCCCCCCCGCCGCCGCACCTCCAATTACGTTATTGCGTGGCCTGACAAAAATAAACGTGGTACTCTCCGGGAGGGCGGTTGGGACTGCGGGTCAAAGGTCACTCACTCGGCGCAGGTGAAGGCGAGCTGGAAGTTGTGCCGCGGGTTCTGCGGACTCAGCTTGGCGAAGTCGAACGCCTCCGGAAAGTAGCTGTGCACGAGGGCGCAGAACGCCATGCCGTCGCACCAGCTGGACGAGAAGTTCTTGATAGTCACATTCTGTCGGCGGTAAGGAAGTGGGTCATACGTACTTGTTATTTTTTTTTGGGGGGGGGGGTAAGGCGAGTTGAACATTTCTCGCAGCCACAGTTAGCGATTACATACGACATTTCTACTTGAAACTGCGTCCAGCATCCTCAGGTCGTGAAACTAGGATGTCAGGATAACCGTGTCAGCTGACCTGGCCTCTTCAACAGGTAGGCATTAACCGTAAGTTAGATATTAACCATTAACAATTTCAGTAATTAGAATTTTGCTCAGAATTATCTGGACCAAGTAACAATCATTCCTTATAGCCACTCGTTTCATATTTGATCCTGTAGAAAGATATAATTCTTTTAATGAAGTAGTAAGTTCACTTGCGGGTTTTTTTTCGCAGTTGTGCTGTTCAGCTCTGTACAGGCAAACCCCAGGTTATGGAAGGTTTAGGTTTCTGAGAATGATCCGTAACCCGAATTTTCCATATGTTGGAAACTGAGGCGTAAGGCAACCCCGCCTTATGCCTCGCTCCGCAGTATTCATCCACAACCTCAGCACACTGCACTATTTGCGCTTACGTAATTAACGCATATTGAAAAAAATTTTTACCATGATTTATGGGACCATTTCCGTAAAATTGGATTTCCGTAAGTCGGGTATTCCATAACCTGGGGACTGCATGTATATAGTTATTGAATCTAAATGAAAAAGCCAATTTATTGTGATGTTTTCTCTACGTTCATTGGTGTTCGGGCCAAACACTTCCACTCTCTACAATTGAGGACCCTGTTTAATCAAGGAATCCATTGGGAATCTCATGTATCAATGGCTGCAAGAGATTTTCACCGAACTTAATAACAAAATCCCTCGAGTGGCTGACAGTGCGTGTGGAGATGCCTTCTTCCAGCAGTGGATTGACAAAGGGCTTTGAATTACTACATTTTTCTTTTTTTATGTCACGTGCATGGGGAAATGCAGAACATCGTTCTAATGAACCACAGCAGTTCAAAACTAAAACTACGCTTGCAACTCCATCCGTGGATGCAAACCGACGTGACACGGTAACGTGTTTTTCTTTACATTTGTAATTAAATGAACCGGTAAACATGCCTTTATTTTCGAGACATGTCCGCGCGATGAGCACTATTAGTACAAAAATAGAAATGATTACATATTCAATGTTGTTTCATAAAACGAAGTTACGTCCATCACTGCTTTGATGTTTATTTACACAGATGGTATATGGGTTTTTTTACGTTAATATGTGTTTGCTTGTAAAGTATTATGCTTGCTTTAAAAAGAAAAACCACGCACGTATAAATTAGGAGGCAAGGTGGCTTGTTGCTGATGGCTGAAAGAGAAGTCTTCTGGGTGGTCTGGAAGTAACATTGTCCCATGTTGATGCCCTTGCTTTGCTATGCTGGGACGAGAGGGCTTAGAAAGGAGACCATTCCTGGAAGGCACTTTTGGCCAACTCGCTTGGCCGGATGGATTCAATTTTTTTTTTAAATCCACAGTTTCGGAAGCTTAAGCAGCCTTGAGCCTGGTTAGTACTTGTATGGGGTGACCGACTGAAAATACCAGCCTGAGCTGTGATTTGGCCCCCAGGAGGTGGCAGTTACAGCAATGGACAACTCTTGAATGAAATCTGTGGAGTTTGGTGTTGTATGCGGCAGAAGTGGACACCGTAAGATGGAAGACATTGGAAGACTGGGAAGTTCTGAGATGTGGGTGCAGCATCAACTATAGAAAATAAGCTTCATGGAAATATAAGAGTAACACGCGGGTGCTTGTGTGTTCAGGCAGAGTGAAGTCTAGCTCGCATCGGAGTGCCATACAGCGCAACCGCGACAGCATACGCAGCAGTAGTAGTAGAAGATAATTATATTTGTAACAATTCAAAGAAGGCAAAGGATCTGGACTAGGCAGATCTTATAGAAATGTAATCTCTTATGGAATACTCTCTGGGGCTTGGCACTCTGCAACGGAGAGTGGTGCTTGGTGGGGGCGGTGGGTGAGGAAATACTTTTGGTCCAGAGCTCAGCCCCGGACAACTCCAGCTCGGATTAAGCCCCGGTCAGAGGTGAAGGAGCGCTCTAGAACGACGGCGGGTGGAGGTGGAACACTTCCCAGAGAACCCGGGAAGAACCTTGTTGCAACGTACAAGGCGATGTCAACACGCTTCGACGATCGCGACAGGCGACGACAGTCGCTGCAGCTCCATGCAAAGTCTCGCGCGGTCAACGCCGGCTGTGCCGCACCACGGCGCTCGGATCGGTCGGCCAGTTGTCGCGCCGGCGTAGCCCCCGAATAATTTGCCCTGCTGACAGAAGCTCGTCTCTCTTCTTCAAAGGGGTTCGTCGTATTGTCAAAGGACGTCGACTAAGTGACCGCAGATTCTTATTCAGCGCCCACCGGCGACTACGAGGGGGTCTTCTGTTTACAAAGTTGTGCGTGGGGGTGGGGGGGTGGTGACTGGCTGTCACTCATTGCACACGGGTCAGGCTGTCAACGTCTCACGGAATAATTTGCTGGGTAGATGGTGCAGCCTTGGATAGGCGGCGCACGAATATTCACCGGCGCCCTCGCGGGAGGCGCATCGGGCGCGGCGTGCCCGGTGTGGAAATATTCGCTGGGTCGCCGGCCCGGGCAGAGAGATAGACCACGCTGAAAACGAAGCCCCCGTCACCGTGGACGATTCCTACTCGAGACTGATTTATACCGAATGCCAAACGTATCTTGGATCTGCGACCACCATGCGTCACGGGTGTTGTAAGCCGCGGGGGCTGCGTTAAAAGCACAGCGAAAGGACAGTGCGGTGATGTCAAATTGTTATCCTGCACTTTTATGCACCGGGGGGTCTATGCGCCCCGCCTTGACCGGCATGGCGAAGTATGGTCAAATAACCACCATGACCTATTCAGCATGCAAATGCCATCGTGCAAAGGGCTGTGAATGCTGTAGGTACCGCATACTGTATGGACGGGAGCGGTGGTGCATTGGTTAGCATACTGCGCACGATGAACCCAGCAATCTGACTTCAAATTCCGGTGATGGTTAATGTCAGTAGCAAGTGATATCCAAAGCGATCCTGTGGCCCCCTTCAACAAACCTTGGTGAAGCATGCCCATAAACAACCCCCATGACCCACATAGCTTCAGTTGGGGGGTGAGGGGTGGCATAGGGGGTGAGTTTTCATCCAGCAAATGCGTTTAGAGCGGTGGTTCTTAACCTGGGGTTGTACGCACCCCCTGGGGGTGCAAGACGTGGCTAGATTTTGTTTTAGAAGGTAAATCATCGAAATACAAAATGAAGCACGGGCATTAAAGTACAACTACTTTGTTTCATAAAAGCTATGTTTGTATTAAGATAATATTTTTTGTTAAAATTCAGAACCAAAAGGGTGCAAGGCTGCAGAAAAGGTTAAGAACCCACTGGTATAGAGTATTCGGCTGCTGCTGTACATTTCCCACATGATAAGCCACTTCGTTGAGCTATCAGTTGTGACCGTGTCGCTTCTGAAAAGCGCTTTCGAGCTCAGTGGGATTTGGTAAAAAAAAATAGTTTTAGTTTAGTTAATTGATGAAGGACTGTGATTTCGTTCTGCAATAACAACTTTTCCGTTGGCCCTTCAGCCACGGCGACCTTTCGTCAGCAGGTCAAGCAGCACTCCACTTTTTTTGAGAATCTCTCAAAAAAAGCATTCGAACATTTCCCGCAACGACTGATTTCAAGAAGAACGGGGGGAAAAAAGGCACAGACGGTGGGGGGGCCGTCAAGTTCAATTCAGAGGGAAGAAAGGAGGTGGAAGGTGGGGTTAGCCGATCTATCCTTTCTTCCCCGAGGGAGGTGGGGAGGTGATGGGGGGGGGGGTCTCCTAAATCGTCCGGCACAGATCACTGCAGCCGGCTTAACCTCTGGCACTGGGCAAACACGTCCGCGGTTAGCGCGCAGCGGTTTGGCGTCTGCCGAATGTCGCGCCCGTGTCCTCGCCTCGTATCTGTCGGTCTTTGACCTGACCCAGTCGAGGATGGTCTGTTTGATGGTGGTGGCGTCGGGCAGGGAGGCGCTCGCCGATCTTTGCAGTGGCGCCGCCTTGCCGCCGGCCGGGACCCCGCCGCCGCTGTTGACTGCGGCATTCTTCTCCTTTAAGGACGATTGCCTGGGGACCGAAGAAAAAAAAAAACAGACACACAGACACACAGACACACAGACACGCGCACACACAGACACGCGCACGCACAGACACGCGCACACACAGACACGCGCACACACAGACACACAGACACACAGACACACGCACGCACAGACACACAGACACGCGCACGCACAGACACGCGCACACACAGACACGCGCACACACAGACACGCAGACACACAGACACACGCACGCACAGACACACATACACACAGACACGCGCACGCACAGACACACAGACACGCGCACACACAGACACGTGCACACACAGACACACAGACACGTGCACGCACAGACACGCGCACACACAGACACACACACAGACACGTGCACGCACAGACACACAGACACGCGCACGCACAGACACGCGCACACACAGACACGCGCACACACAGACACGCAGACACACAGACACACGCACGCACAGACACACAGACACACAGACACGCGCACACACAGACACACAGACACGCGCACACACAGACACGTGCACACACAGACACACAGACACGTGCACGCACAGACACGCGCACACACAGACACACAGACACACGCACGCACAGACACACAGACACGCGCACACACAGACACACAGACACACAGACACACAGACACGTGCACACACAGACACGTGCACACACAGACACACAGACACACAGACACGCGCACACACAGACACACAGACACACAGACACGTGCACACACAGACACACAGACACGTGCACACACAGACACGTGCACACACAGACACACAGACACACAGACACGCGCACGCACAGACACGTGCACGAGCGCGCACGCATGCAGAGACAGGCAGGGAGGGGACGGGGGTGGTGGTAGGGACGGGGTGGTGGGGGTGAAAAAGAAAAGGTCAAACGAATGGAATAATGCCTTGAAGCGGGCCTTCGCTGGCTTCACGCGCTGAAAGCCAAGTCGTGCTTTACGGCTGTATACACAGGCGCCGTTCAGGAGACGCGGTATTCATTTGGAGGGGGCTTTTTTTGCGCCCATTTAAGGAGCAGAACCAGCTCTGGATTCCGCCGCTGTGCCCCCCCCCCCCCCTGTTTATGCCAGGTTCGGGTACACGTGTAACGTTCCTCGGTTTTTTTTTCATGCCCCATAATTATTATTATTTTTTCTCTCTCTCTCTCTCCGTTAACCAATTAAGGCTATGGTTTCAGGGACGTGGAATCAGGTGAGCTTACGTATATTGGCAGGCTCTCGTTTTAAAAATTAAATAAATGCCGGACCTCTTTACAAAGGGTCTGGCCAGCGTGAAAGAGGAGGCCTAAACACCCTCTAGACGGGGCTCTCACGAGTGAAGGACATCTCGCCAGCAGTGGAGTGAGAAAGCCAGCTCAGTGCTCTATTCAATTTCGTATTTATAAAGCGCCCTTTCCATGGCGCTTTAAGATGTAATCCGACGGCGTTCAGTGAGGAAGGTGATGGAATGGATGGAGGAACAGGGGCGCAGGGAATGGAGCTGATGTTCCAGAATAAGGTGGAAATGTGACGGTGATTGAGTGTGTCAGAATCACATGCTCCACCTTGCCAGTGCAGCTCCCAGGTTTGTGGAACGCTCTGCCTCTCCTAATGAGACGGAATCGTTAGGGCTTAATACCACTCTAGAGTTGGGGGGGGGTGGGGAGGGGGGGGGGTCTTTACAGGGGAGGTCTTTTAGCCAGCAAATATTCAGAGTGATGCTCTCTCTCTCTCACCAGCTGGCGTCTTGCTCCAGTTTCTGGAAGAGCGCTTTTCGAGACTGGGTATTGGGCGTGCGGGGCAGCGACTGGGATCTCATGAGCTCCAAGCGGCCCCCCATCTGCCTCTCCTGGCTCCCGGGGGGGGTCTTGAAGGAGGGAGACGGCGTCGTGTGGGTGCCAGCACCCTCCCCACTGGTGCCAAGGCAGAGGGGATGGAACGCGACGGCCGAATGAGCAATGCCGCAAAACGCACGCGCGCGCGCACTTGCGAAACAGAAACTGAGATCCCCCGTACAGCCCGAACAGACTGTTGGGGCGAGTGATCTTAGCGAGTAGCACCTATGAAGGCCAGAACGGCACACCAGGGGCTGGGTGGCCAACATCACACCCGGCCGCCTTCGTCTCCCGATTGGTGATGTTTACACACCGCACCAGGTGCTCATTTGAGGCCGAGTCGACCTAAGAGAGGCCCAGGACCAGTTCAGATAATCGTCACTGGTGTCAGTGCCGAATTAAACTAGTGCGGGCCTGTAGCATATATTATAAAGGGGCCCTACATTTATAAAAAACACGTAAATATTAAAACACATTTTTACGTGCATAGTGAAGTAATTGTATCTTTTAATTTGCTATACAGCCAGATAATACGACAAATCGTTAACCTTAAACACCCAGTTCTTCATAAAAGTTGAAGGCTGTATCGTACTATAGTAATAGAGCAAGTGCACAATCACTTAATCGGAATTGATAGCTTGAAAGCATTTAGCGCGGGGACCTTGAAAGTGCGGGGCCCGTAGCTACTTTGGATGTTAAATCACACGTGGTCTTACTCCCAAGGGGAGGTGCTCTACCCATCTTTATACCTATATGTAGTAGTAGCTACTACATGTGTAGTAGCTACTACTACATGTGTAGTAGCTACTACTACATATGTAGCGACTTTTGCCACGAGGATAATCCGGCACTGGCTGGTGTTGGTGGCCGTGAGCGGCAATCGAACTCGGGTCGCCGGGTTTCGTAGCGCAGTGCGCTACCCGGGGCTCTACCGCTCCGCGCACACGCGCACGCTCGCACGCAAAAGCACAAACAATAAACAATAAAGGCGTGACACTGCTTTTGATGGCATTCTCTCCGTTTCTCGGCTCAAGGTGCAAAGTCTTACGCAGGCGGCATTTATTTTTGGGTGAAGACCGCTTGCACGTTTCTTGCTTGCTTTCTAAAAATGTTTGCATTTTTTTGGGTCAAATTAAGCAAACATTGCTTGCGTGCGTCCTATTGGCGCTCCGTGAAGTTTGTATGCTGCGTGCTAATCGCACCTTACGAATTGACATACGAGAAGCGTCTTTGCGAAGGCAATTTAACGCCACTTGAATATAGGTATAAAGATGGGTAGAGCACCTCCCCTTGGGAGTAAGACCACGTGTGATTTAACATCCAAAGAGTCGACGTGCATGAGTAATCGCCAACTGCCTTCACCCCACACCGGTGTATCGAAAGCATGCAATGCTCATAACTTTGCTTTATATATACACAGGGTGCCTCAAAACAAAATGTAACACCTATGTGCGACTATCCTTTTTAATGGAAAAAGAGCGGATAATACACTGTAACGTGTCAACAAATGTAATGTTAATATGCTTCAAAAAGTCAGAGAGTCTCCGCTTGTTCGCCATCATTGTCAACGCGTACCTGGAATCTTCTCCAGGTGGTCTACAGGCACATTTCTTGTGGAATTCTTGCAAATTCTCCGAAGTGTTAACATTTTTTTGAAGCACCCCGTATCTACTGTACATAAGGTGTGAACACATTCATCGGTAACACCGCACTTAAGCGGTCCAAAAATATTCTCATGGGCGTTCGTTTCGTTGCAATGACCCATTCTCGTCGTGGCTCACAATTGCCAAATTTGAAAACGTGCCACGAAGATTACTCGATTGGGCCCACACGTGGCAACATCGCCTCCTACTGCACCTCCGGTTAGCACGGTTGGCTACGTCCTTAAGCAAAAGCAGTTCAACGTCCATACGTACGTCCATAAGAATGGCGCGGATCCCAAAAATACTCGTGATGATTCATAGCAGTGGGCCTTCTTCATAGCGTAGCGTTAACTCTCTCTCTCTCTCTGCTGTGAACGGTGGCAATTGCCCCGAAACGTCGCCCGTTGTATAGCTACCGTCTCCTGTTAAAGGGCGGGGTGCTACTGGCGAACGCATTGACTCTTTCCGCGTGCTCCGAGCGCTCCATTGCCAATGCGGCATCGCGCTCATGTTTTTTTTTCATGACACACGCACACACAAATTGCTCGCAACAAATGAATCGCAATGCCTCGCTGATCTCGTCAAGGAGCGTAAACCATCATCACGTGACACTCCGGTAGTCATCCTTGCAGCGGTGGCTTTCGGCTGCTAGCCATCGAAACAAAGATGGTCACCGCAATCGCGCGGGTTTCGCGTGCGCTTCTGCTGGCCGTCTGGAACGCTCTTCCTCCCAATATTAGGAGACCACTGGAGCTATGCACTTTTAAAATCCAGATTGAAGAACTCATTTGTCGAGAACTGCGCTTTGCGTTTCGTTTTCCTGTCGTTCCGCCGCACCTCCGATGAGCACGGCTGGCTACGTGTGGCGCGAAAGAAGTTCAACGCATGCGTGCAGGCGCTCGCACAAGAACGCCGCTTCATCGCGGCGTTCTTGGCGTGGCGCGCCGCGCGCTCACGGCGTCGGCTGCAGCAAGAGTTAAAAGCGGGCTTCCCGCAGAGGCTTTTAATGTCACGGTAGCCTCTGGCGACCCCTCCAGTCGATACCGGCTCCTCACTTTTCGTGCAAGATTTACACAACCGGCAGTTAGCCACGTCCAGCGCCGCCTTATTGAGTCCGTTCTGTAATTGGCGCTGTCCCCCCCCCACCTTAATTAGCGCCCTGAAGAGAAGACACCTTTGTCTCGGCGGTCTCAGGCACGTGGTAATGAGTTTGAAGTTTGGAGGGCAATTAGCCGCAGGGGCTCACCTCGAGTGGATAAGGAGGCCCACAAGAGCTACGGATTAAAGCTCCTCGGATCATGGAAGCTAAGGAGGACTTTGGAAGCCCGGTTAATACTTGGATGGGGGGGGGGACTGCCTGGGAATGTCATAGGCCTCGTGACAATGTGTGCACCCTTCGCGATTAAATTCTGGGTCGCGATCGATGCAATCGCCGATTTCCTTTTCAACATTTGTGGTGCACTGCAGCACCTCCAGTGGTGCACTGCAGCACCTCCAGTGGCTGCAGGGATCGTGTGAACTAATTACATACATCACATGTGAATTACTCTTTGGTTCTTTCCGTAAAGTCACGTGGTAGGTAGAAAAAATAATTATAGATCACGACTTTTCGATCGCCACACAAGCAGTCGTCTCTCCCACCTGAAGACGACTGCTTGTGTGGCGATCGAAACGTCGTGATCTATTATTATTAATCTACCTACCACGTGACTTTACCGAAAGAACCAAAGAGTATGGATCCCTGCAGTCACGAAAGCTTCAAATCAAGATTCACATGTGACTTGTAAATGAATGGATTCTCAACATGTACGATTTGATGCACGTATCGAGGATGTGAGAAGCACTGGTACATCTTTTCACCCCGGGGGTATCACGAAGTCTTTGGCTGCAAGGTTGTCATGAGATGGCAGTGCAGCAACACATTCTTAAATCCATCTGTGCTGTGCTTCAAGTGTTGCCCCCTGCTACGTGTAATGGGTTTTCCCCAAGTCCCCCACTCTCCCTCCCATCTGAGGCCAAACTCTGGTTCATGGCATTGGTTCCAAATCCCAATGTGGCAGGGCCGGCCCTCCCGAAAAAAAAGTCACTTGAGACTCGGCGAGCCCTTTCGTGGGGAAGTGTTTCTACAATTATATTCATCCCGGCACTGCTTGCCCCCTGCAGGTGAATACAAAGGCGGTAGACGCGGCGTAAACATTCGTGCCGAGACGAAGCTACGTGGCGCCAATGCCGCGTGAAAGCCGGGCGAAAAGTCCAGATAGAACTTTCCAAAACCAATAGTTTCGTCAACGCGAGATAATCCGCTATATTGCTGCCTTAACGTTTTCCACTGTCTACAAGTCAGCATGGTGCTTGCCACCTGCCCCCCCCCCCCCCCCGTGCCACCCCCTCCCCTCTCCCCCACCTGTGCCTACACCCCCTCACCCTCCCCATCCAGCAATGTTAAAGTATAATTGAAGGAAAAGACAACTGATCTGCAGGAGAATATATTGATTGACTCCCCAACACTCAGTGACCCCCCCCCCCACCACCTCCTTGCTTTGTTAATGCAAATAAAGAGAGAGTCAAGACATTGCTGCCACGGCTGAGTGATGAGCAGCGTAGGGACCAACCGTGGCGTCTAATCTCGTGGGTGCATGTTGAACTAATGTATGTTGGACTTCTTTTGCGCCGTACGTAGGCCAACCATGCTGATCGTCTGCCTGTGGATGTGTTACGGAAGAGTCCGTTGGTCTGGCCGTGACATGTGCGCCGATGAACTTTAGATTTCAGGGAGGAAAACAAATGTGGCTGTCGCCTGAGGAAGCTGGTTGTAATTACTGGCGAAACGTCGTACTCAGATTGTAAATGTTGTGGCTTGGCTCTCCAACACACACCGGTTAGTGCTGTACTAGCGACGAATTGGCCACGTTCTGTTTACGTGACAACCCTTACTAGTTGGCTGTGTCGGGTGGTGGCGGGTTTTAACGATACATTTATATATTTACGCGATCTAACCCCAAAAAACCTCTACTATGGATGATATTGGTCGCGAAAGCTTACTACGTGTTAAACAGGAACACAAGAATTATGATTTTGTACTACATTAGCGCCCTGTAGCTTTAACTAAACAACACATTCCCTCCCCCGGCTACGAATCTCCCGTGCGGCAATGGTAAGATGTTGACTACCTCGCCTGGTATGCAGGAGGTCGTAGGTTCGATCCCGACCCTGACGACTGCTGTATATTTGGAGTTTGCATGTTCTCCCCGTGGTCGTGTGGATTTTTCTCCACCAGGTCTCCACATTTATAAACACACTTTTAGAGCATTCGACCGCTATACACTTCCGCATGCTAAGCCACTTCGTTGAGCTGTCATTTGTGGCCAGGTCGCTTCTGAACAAGAGCTACATAGTTCAGTGGGCCTTACCCTGGTAAAATAACACAAATAGATGTATAGGTTAGATAGTTAATGGGCTGTCGCTTCGCAACAGATAGCACTGGTGGGGGGGGAGGAGGGACTGCTGCGCTCACCTCGTCGCTGGAATGTTCAAGACGCTTGCGGTGCTGAACGTCACCGATTTGTTGGAGGTCCTTGCAATTGTATCTGGGGGAATGGGAACAAAAGCACGCGTGTGCTCAAAAAGCATTGCATCTTTATAAAACAAAAAATAAAGAACTCACTTCGGTAATGGTTCGTTTGCGTGCGTTTGCGTGCGTTCGCGTGCTGGACAAGCCACGGTTCGTCTATTTGGCTTACTTTCGTTGATTCCCGAATAGTTGGATTCCACCGTCGAGAGTATAGACTTTTTCATCGTGTTGCCTGAACAACAGCAATAACACAGGACAATCGTGAGCAATTCAGCAACAACGTGCAAAGTCCCCGTCTCCTCCGTCACGGTCATTAGCCGGCGCAGCATGTACGCCCAATTGCAGGATGCGTAAACGCGTTGCCGTTGATCGTATTCTTCTTTACGAGTGTGATTGGGGGGGGGGGGGAAGTGACGCTGGAAACGGCTTATTACTACCCCAACCCCTATCACCACCCCAATCGCTACCCCAACCCCTATAACTACCCCAACCCCTATCACCACCCCTATCACGACCCCAACCCCTATCACCACCCTTATTACTACCCCTATCACCACCCCAATCGCTACCCCAACACCTATCACTACCCCAACCCCTATCACCACCCCTATCGCTACCCCAACCCCTATCACTACCCCTATCACTACCCAACCCCTATCACTACCCAACCCCTATCACTACCCCAACTCCTATCACTACCCCAGACCCCTATCACTACCCCAAACCCTATCACTACCCCAACCCCTATCACTACCCCTATCACTACCCCAACCCCTATCACTACCCCAACCCCTATCACTACCCCAACTCCTATCACTACCCCAGACTCCTATCACTACCCCAGACCCCTATCACTACCCCAAACCCTATCACTACCCCAACCCCTATCACTACCCCAACCCCTATCACTACCCCAACCCCTATCACTACCCCATCTCCTATCACTACCCCAACCCCTATCATTACCCCAACCCCTATCACTACCCAAACCCTATCACTACCCCACCCCCTATCACTACGCAACCCCTATCACTACCCCACCCCCTATCACTACCCCAACCCCTATCACTACCCAACCCCTATCACTACCCCAACCCCTATCACTACCTCACCCCCTATCACTACCCCAACCCCTATCACTACCCCAACCCCTATCACTACCCCACCCCCTATCACTACCCCTATCACTACCCCAACCCCTATCACTACCCAACCCCTATCACTACCCCTATCACTACCCCAACCCCTATCACTACCCCAACCCCTATCGCTAACCCTATCACTAACCCTATCACTAACCCTATCACTACCTATTACTACCCCTATCACTACCCCTATCACGAGCTCAACCCCTATCACTACCCCAACCTCTCCTTCACCATTCCCGCGTGTTTTCCTGTCACCATAACTACACCACCTCTTTTAATAACCCCCACTCTTCATCTCAACCACTTTCATCTTGTGTACTATTTTATAATTGTTGTAAAGCGCCTCAGAAAGAATGCGCTATATCTCCATATATATAAAAGGCACATTTGTGATTATGTGTCTGTTCAAAATGTTTAGCGTACTTCCCGACATGCAACAAACTGGAAATTTGCCATGTGGGTACTTCACAGACTGTACACCATGCAAAAATTATAAAAATACACTTTTTTTTAGGGGGGGGGGAGCTCAATAATGCATATATTTTTTGCACGGCAAGTGAGCTGTGACGTCAAATCTGTCACGTGACCCGCGCATGTGGAAGCGTGACGCATTGTAGTGTAGTGGTTAGCGCTACGAACCCGGCGACCCGAGTTCGATTCCCGCTGCCACCACCGGTGACGATTGTTTTAACCGCTCCTGGGCCTCCCCTAGGTCGACTCAGCCTCAAACGAGTAAGTAGTGTGGTGTGTGAACATCGCCACTGGGGAGACAAAGGCGGTCGGGCGTGGTGCTGGACACCCATCCCCCTGGGGTACCGTTCCGGCCTTCATATGTGCTCACTAACAGCGCTTGCCCCTACAGTCAATATGGGGGATATTTGTCTTTGTGTGGGGTAGCGGCAGTGTAGTGGTTAGTGCTACGAACCCGGCGACCCGAGTTCGATTCCCGCTCACGGCCAACACCGGTGACGATTATTGCAACCGGTCCTGGGCCTCCCCTAGGTCGACTCAGCCTCAAACGAGTAAGTAGTTTGGTGTCTGAACATCGCCACTGGGGGGACAAAGGCGGCCGGGCGTGGTGAATCCAAGTCCCGGGCGAAGCAGGGTAGTCCAGCTAGTACATCTATATAAGGTTCCAGAAGAATGGAGGAGCACCAAATAAAACTTGCATCTTCACGAAACATAAAAAAATACTCTCATCGTTCACTATTTAAAATATTACCATGGTAATTGGTTTATAGCCTTAATTATTTAGGCAGCATCGTCATCATGTGATGTTCATAGCCACGTGACGGTACCAAATGATTTCAGCTTTGGCGCTAGAAATGTTTAAAACGTGCACAAATGTGCAGCGTGCAGCGCGTGCCTCGAAAAAATCTCGCCCTGTGCGAAAACCACCGTTTCCCGAAGCAATGCATTGTGGTCATCTTGTCTAAGGCCAACATCCATTGCATTGAACAAGTGTGAAGCAGCAGTGAGACATGGGCAACTGTCGATATGTCGCATCCGTTGCCAAATCTGCCTCCTGTAAACTCATCCTCGCATCGGCTTTTGGCCAGATATCGAACAAAGACGATCACTGCATCGCACGCGCGCTTCCAGGTGCGCTTCCGTGGCTGTCTGGAACGCTCTTCCTTCCGATATTAGTAAGCCACTGGTTGAAAAACGAATATCTTTAGAACTGCGTTTTGTGTTTAGTTCGCTGTCCTTCCTCCAGCACCTCCAATTAGCACGGTTGCCTGCGCACAGTGCGACAGAACGTACATATACAGAGACGCTGCTTCCCCGCAATGGGGCCAAATCCATCAGCATTTGCTCGATGGCAACAATAATTATCATCAGCAAATGGCGAGAACAGCCAAAGCAACCGAAACAAAAACCTGTGCCGGCCCTTCAATCGAAAAGTTTTCAACAACTCGCTGCCACGGGTGCTTCCGATATTGATTGTCCTTCGGGCAATAGAAAACGCCGCGATTTTGTCTCTTTTTTGGCTTGCAACGTTACCTGTGGAAATGGTTTTCTGAACGACCTTGACCGATCTTGTGGAATCGCCGAAGATCACTTTTTCCGTTTTGCTGAAACCCTTGTCCCCAGCGGCCGCGAGCTTCTCCACAACGACGTCCTTCTGCAGGCCCCGGCTGCTGTCTGTGGATTTGCTCTCATGGATGCTCTCCCTCTGTTCTGTTCGTTTCAGTACGGCCGACAACAATGGCACGCCGTTATTTTCTTCATAACGACGGGTTTTATATATGACACTTTTTTTAATGTATATATTTTTAAAAAAAATCGCAATTACCCGAGCACGGGACCAGAGGTCAAGAAAACTGCAAAATGGCCATCGACAAATTAGCACTTTTGGAGTTACAATAGATAACAGATCATACGTTTCTTGAATTGAGAAAAAGTGAATCGGCTATTGCATGAAGACATAACTCCAATGCTGTGTCAGTCATGGGTGACCGGTTGACTATATTTCACCACGCAAGGTCAACTCGGGTTGGTGAAGTGTGGAGTGGGTTTTGGGGGGTGGCTGGCCGAAGACCTGTTCACAAATAACTCGCCGGGGTTTATAGCGCTGTGCGCTGACCACTGCACCACCACCCCCCTCCTCCCCCACTATCTTGATAATGGGAGCTCACTACGGTACAACATCATGGTAAGTAATGATGATGGTGGGTTTATTGACCTCTGATGCCGTGTCCACGCATCATGTTTAGTTGACGCTCCTTGCATTGAACACTGCTTTGTTCGAGAAATATACACATGCATGTAATAGGCCAACGTTCCAAGCAACGGCCCTTATACAGAACAAATTCGCTCCCGTTGGCGATTCAAGCAAGATTGTCACTCCGGGACCCTGTTATCGTCTTGGCGGCGCGCTCTTGCCAATAACATCTGACAACCCAGCGGCATTTGTTAAACAAAGCCTGACTGTTGACGAGACACAGAAGGTTCAAACCGGTTCAGAATTCCGCATGTTTGAACAAAAAAAAGAATGTTGCTGGGTGATGTTGGCCTGGTAATCGAGTCGGACCGATGGGACAAACTTTTGTTTGCATTTGAAGGGACACAGAACGCAGCTGCAACAACAACAACAGCAGCAGCAGCAACGCATAACGCGGTTGTGTACTGTTTATATAAAAGGAGGCTCATCAACAGTGAGGCCACGGTGTTTTGCCAAGACGAGGCGCCAGGGGCCGACAACCCGCCAAACTGATTACAAATATTCGCAGGGTTACACAGAGACGGCGTGTATATTTCCTTTTTGCAAGGCAGTGTCAGCGAGAGACGTGGTGTAAAACAACTTCCTAACACGATCCACTAAGGCGTTGAGCCCACACTCGTGTCGTTTTAGTCAAACCCATTGGGCGTCCAGTGGCACCCCGGTTAGTAAGGATCGTTGCGTCACGGCACCCGGTTATACGGCATCTGCGTTAGGGATGTTACACGGCAACAAACGCGTGTTAATAAGCTAACAATTTGTCACAGTCGTAAAAAAAAAACCAATACTTGTTATTCCGTATTAAGTGAGATTTAATATTTGTGCTGTCGTTGCTTCTTGTAGTGACTGTTGTCGTCGTTGGTGTTATGTTCGACACAGCTCTACGTTAGCTCACGACTAATCCCGGTGATCTTAATTTACGGAAACATCTGCAGTGACCGTCTGTTAATGTTTCAGGCACGCAGCTTCACACGCTCGGGGTACCTTCTGCGACACTTTCCTCATACAGAGTGTCATCCGTTGAGACACTTCCCTGCACACCTGCATTTTAAAATGTAAATCATTACCCATCTGCAGCGGCGTCTCGTTACCTTCATTCAAATTCAAGAATTGAATTTTTTTTTTTAGTCGTGCGGTAAAAGGTCACTATTCAGGGATGTATATTTTAAAGGGCGTCGTCCTAAACGTCTCGGCAGATTCGAGAGCGTCCCCGGAACTCGCATCTCATCCTCGATCATTCCGATGCACCACTGCTACAGTTCCAGCCAAGGGCACCTCCCCCCCCTCCTCCCGTGGCATCTGTCCCTATTCAGCACAAGGTGTAAGCAACAGTATCGGCTCGACAATGGACATCGAATCTGCCGTTAGAGGGGAGGTGGGGGGCAAAGGGCTGCGAGCGATGTGGGAAGGCCGTCCTTGGAGGGGGGGTTTCCCCTAATAAAGCAATTTGTGAGTAATTGATCAAATGTGCCAACTTGGGACGGTGACGCCGGTACACAATGGGCAGCTGTTTGTGTTGTTGTAACTTCCAATAACGTCACGGGGATCCGTCGCGTCCTCAGTGAAGCGGGGACGGAGCGCTCGCGGGTTCGCTGGGTGAATAAGTCGACGCCACCGCTCGTGCCGCGTCTAAACCACGTCGCCCGGTATGCAGGAGGCCGTGGGTTTTAGCCAGAGCCACGACGCCTGCTGTGTATTTGTGAGTTTGCGTCTCTCTCTCTCTCTGCCTCTCTCCCCCGTGGTCGCGTGGATTTGTCTCCGGGTCCTGCGGAGTTTCCGTGCACATTGAGAATCAACGTCGCGCGTTTGGAGTATTTGGCTACTGCTGTGGATTTGAACTTGATACGCCACTTCGCTAAGCTGTCGATTGTAGCCAGGTCGCTTCTGTAAAAAGAGCAATACAGCTCAGTGGTAAAAAAAAATAAAATAGTTTTTAGTTATACAGTAGAAACTCGTTTTATCCGCGTTGATGTGTGGGATGAACATGGCGGATCCTATTATCCGCGCGCGGCTATCTGCGAATTTACTCGATGTCATCGTCAGCCGTGATCAATCCACTGCTGGATGAAGCCCTCCCCCCCCCCCCCCCCCTAAGCCGTCGGCATCTCTCACGGTCCCGCGGTGCATAATAATCCACACAACGCCTGCTGCACACCAGCCGATTCCATCGCTCCATTTCCCCGGTGGACGTGGCCCCTCTCTCGGATGCGTTCCATTCCTTGGCAGCCACTCCGCTATTTCCCTTTACCGTCGGCCACCATCCCTTCTAGCGACGCGTTACTCCACCCATCCCGCGGGGGGGTGGGGGGAGGGGGTAATTACGGATGACCGTGGATGATAGGAAAAGGTCCGCGGATAATGAGTACTTTTCTCGTACCATGTGTAGCTGCCGCGGATAATAATAATAATGGGAGCTGCGTGTTATAGGGGTTATGGATAAGGGGATATCTCCTAGAATTTTCCCGCACGTAGAAATGCAAATCCTTTTAAATATCCACCGCAACATTTTTTTGTATTTTAACTACCTTACCTCTGGCCTTTTTTCGAAGGTTTCTAATCGCCGTGCGAATTCCTCTCCTCTCCTCAAAGTCTGTGGCCTGCGCAAGCTTTGGCAGAACACGGGGTGTGGGGTAGAGGGGGGGAGTAAGCGGTTAAAAGGCTGCTCGCAAGCCACCACGTCGGTGTCACGCGGTGGACGAGCTCTACTGCCGTACCACCGCAGATTTATTTTCAATCTTAAGAACATATCAATCTGCGCGAAATAAGTCTTTTTTTAAATGTTCCCTCCGTTCCGATGTACAGTAGATAAGTTGGGTATTGGGTTTTTTTTTACTCTCGCTTTGAAGTTTTTTTTTTAGTGTGTGTGTGGATGCTATTATGGCCATCGCATGGCAATCAAAGTTTGCGGTCATTCGGAGGCATTTTATCAGACGAGTGAAGTATGCCGAAATACGTGCATTACACGGAGGCCCTTTTTTCAATAATGGCCCGCCAGTTGAAATGAAGAGTGATTGATCGTATCGTTTAGCCACGAAAGTTAAAGGTGCAGCCCTGAAATTATTTGCCCGTGCAACCACTGACGGGAAGGGAGCTCTGTAAAGGCCACACTCGAGGGTCATTTGGCCTACTCTTCCAAGCTGGCCTAGATGTCTTGGAAGCGGTGGGAAGAACCCACACTTTAATCCACCTCACGCGACCTACCAATCGACTTACCCGTTTACAATGCTGGCTGGGTGGACGGAGGAAAGCGAGGAGAGGCAGATTTCATAAACTTGGCCCATTGTTTCATCTGCCGCACCAGCAGATCGGATCGAACCGGCGACTTCTGAATTTCAAGTTCGGTGAGCTAACTTGTCGCCTGACAAGTCGTGGGCATTGCATGTCCAAGCATTTATTTACGTGCCGTGCGTTCTATCATTTGAAACAGAAATGTACAGAGGGATATTTGTTTTCAGCGTCCGGATTGACAACACTGCACAAATGAGTCGTTTCAACCAAGCAGTCGCCGTCTCTCGCGATCCCGCGGAGAAACGGGGATAGTGCTCGTACACTTTTGTACAAATGCAGTGAGCCAAGGCAGACACCGGACGTTTACATTTTAAACCAAAAGGGTTCCGAGTCTTGCTCTTAGCCCAAGGCCTTGCGTGACCGACCAATGACACGGACCGCATTTCAATAAATATTTACAGAATGCCAGTGTTGTTCTTTCCAAACTTTTATTTTGATTTCGGAGCCTTGTTTTCATACGTTTATTTTTAAGCTTCTGTCAACCTTATGGCGTATCGTTCTTTCTCTCTCTCTCTCTGTTACGTTTCATAAGAGAAAGCGCGAGAGAGAGACGGCTTTATCGAATACGTTGTTTGGTATGAACATTGCGACATTGAAAAATATGTGCTCCTGCCGAAGGTTTTCAGCGGCCGTGCCGTAGTGGTTCGATGTGCTTTCGGGTTGCTCCTACGAATACGTTTGATGTCCGACGTTTCGCTCCACATGGCTGAGGCAGCTCCCGGTCATGTGGAGTGTCTCAAACGTGGGACTTCACGCAAAACAATAACGGCGGTAACAACCCGAAAACACATCGGAGAGCTATACCAGAAAATGTTTGACGCTTTTATATATGTATATAAACAAAAAACAAAGATCCCCCCCGTTTAGCCTTCACAGACTTTTGAAGGCCGACTGGGCACATGAGGGGGTGGATGGCCAGCACCACGCCCCACCGCCTTTGTCTCCCGAGTGGCGATCTTTACGCACAAACACGAGGTACTCATTTAAGACCGACCTCGGAGAGGCCCATGACCGGTTCAGATAATAAATGGTGTTGGTCGTAAGCGGGAATCCAACTTGGGTCGCCAGGTTCGTAGCGCAGCGCGCTTACCACTACGCTACCGCTCCCCACATACGTACATATATACAAAGACAAAGATCCACCGTATAGCCTGAAAAGACTGTTGGGGCAAGTGCTGTTAGCGAGCACCTATGAAGGCTAGAACGGCACACGAGGGGGGGGATCGGTGGCCAGCACCACGCCCGGCCGCCTTTGTTTCCCCAGTGGCGATGTTTACACGCCACACCAGGTACTTATTTGAGGCTAAGTCGACCTAGGGGAGGCCCAGGACCGTTTCAGATAATCGTCACTGATTTTGGCCATGAGCGGGAATCGAACCCGGGTCGCCAGGTTCGTAGCGCAGCGTAGCGCTAACCGCTACACCACCGCTCCCCCACATACGTACATATACACAAAGACAAAAACTAACAAACAGAAACTAATAAACAAACAGCCACGAAGCTGTCAAGTACAGAGCAGTATATTGAAAACGTGTTCTCGCGGCGTAGCTAAGCTCATAAGCTCAGTGGGCTTTACCTGGTAAGATTAAAACAATTGATTAGTTGTATCTTGACTTAAAGCTTTCGTGACTGCAGGAATTCATACTCTCTTGGTCTTTCGGTAAAGTCACGGAGATAGAAAAAATAATTTTTAAAAATCACGACTGAGGCAGTCCGCCCGCTGTATGTTTTTCACCTGAAGACGATTGCTTGTGTTGCGATCGAAACATCGTGATTTTTTCTTCTTTTTTTTGTCTATCTACGTAACTTTACCGATAGACCCAAAGAATATGTTTCGTTTCATTTGTGTTTGTTATCGTGATTTGTTTACCTTTCCTATACTTTGCACTACTATCGTGTTTTTTGTATTGTTTGTTGTTGTAACCTTCTGACCAGCCCCTACTGAACATCTGTGAAAAAGAGCTTCACGGTTCATCGGATCCCTCCGGTATAAATAAACAGTCTGATGATTCTGTGCAATATTCCTCACCATCCTCTCAAGGACCTCTTCGTCCACGTCGTTTGTATCGAATGGCTCGGCTTTTGGCACGCCCGCCACCACCGCCTCTCTGTAGGTGATGTTCACGCTGTCTTCTTGGGGCTGATTACTGCTCTTGGAAGGCTCCGTCTCCTAACACATGAAGGAGGAGGAAGAGGAGGAAATTGAGCACGTGCGTGTACATTCACTTTACGTACCCGGCGAATCCTCACAACGCGTGTACGCTATAGCGTGGCTATTCCATTCGGGGAAACCGTTCACGCAACGCGGAAACGCGCCCCTCCGTTATAATGCGGAACGTGGCTCTCCGTTGTAATGGAGATCGTGCCCTCCGTTATAACACGGATCACGCCCTCTGTTATAACGCGGAACGTGCTCCTCCGTTATAATGCGGAACGTGGCTCTCCGTTGTAATGGAGATCGTGCCCTCCGTCATAACACGGATCACGCCCTCTGTGATAACGCGGAAACGCGCCCATCCGTTATAATGCGGAACGTGGCTCTCCGTTGTAATGGAGATCGTGCCCTCCGTTATAACACGGATCACGCCCTCTGTTATAACGCGGAACGTGCTCCTCCGTTATAATGTGGAACGTGGCTCTCCGTTGTAATGGAGATCGTGCCCTCCGTTATAACACGGATCACGCCCTCTGTTATAACGCGGAACGTGCTCCTCCGTTATAATGTGGAACGTGACCCTCTGTTATAACTGCGCGGCTGAGCGGTACAGTGACACAGTACGCGGAATGATACTGCAAACGCAGCCGCTTGCCCTCGGTTCTTTGGACCGCCGTCTCACTGTGTGGTGTGCACAGTGGTCCATCGTATCTCGCCAAACTTTGTCGTTTGCTCCATTATTTGTGGGGAAATTGTTCTCGCCCAACGCGTTTTTTTCACTTCACGCGGCACTTTTCAGGAACACGTCTATTGTGTTAAACGAGGACTTACTGGAGTGAATTTACTAGGCCCGTAGCAAATTAACACCAACCCTCGAAATCGCAAAGAATTGTTACGATTTGGGGGGGGAGGCAATTAGATCACATATTTTAAAATTATTATTTTACTTTTTAATCATTTTTGTTTCTCGTCTGTCTAATTTGTATGGTTTACGTCACGCCGTTACCATAAATGTAACGTGAGCGTATCATTTATATAAATGATTAATCGTCGGTTCTCAATGTGCGCTATTCAATGCGTGTACAGTATCGTGAGCGTGACAATCAATTTGAATCCGCGTTTGCTAACATCATCGTAATAGTTTAACACGTAGGCTTTCGCGACCAATATTATTCATAATAAAGGTTTTTGGGTTAGATCGCGTTTATTTATAAATGTGTCGTAACCCTCCACCACCCGACACGGCCAATCAGCAAAAAAAGTGGCACGTTGACAAAAGACAAATAATTCGCCATTCTGGCGAATTGCTTGATGATGCTGGATGTATTTACCAGCGAAACGTCGTACTCAAACTGTAAATGTGGATTAACTCTTCAACACACTGGTGGGCTGAAGTAGTGAATTATTTGTCTTTTGTCAACGTGACACTTTTTTTGCTGATTGGCCGTGTCGGGTGGTGGAGGGTTACGACACATTTATAAATAAACGCGATCTAACCCAAAAACCTTTATTATGAATCATCGTAATACAAGCAGTATCCATCACTTTGCATGCCCCGAAACTATCGGACGCATATTTTGAGCCGTGTTGCAGCTCAAATACGGAATACACTCCTGCAGGTGCAAGTGAATTGATGGCAATTAAATTTCACACCCAAAGGTTGCTCCTTCATTTCGCATCTAATGTAATTGCACACCAATGTTGTTACTTTAGTCCTGGGTATGATGTTAAATCTTCATTATGGCAATGGCTCTCTGGGAGAGAGCGAGAGAGAGAGAGAGGTGGGGACCGTGTGCGTCTCTTTAAAGGGGGGCGACGGCGGCTCCGGCTTCTGTTAGGTCGCGACACGGGCGTCTCTCTCGCCACCTTCCCTCCCGATAGTTGCGCTAGGGGCTGACGGAGAGAGACCCGGCTTGCTAGAGCCGCCTACGCACAGGCTCCCTCGCCACATCGCTACCATCACCGTCACCACCATCACCGCACCACCGTCAACTCCACTATCGCCAAAACCATGACCACCGCCGCCATCAGCACACCGTGCACCTCCGATCAGCACGGCTGCGTGCGGTGCGAAGGAAGTTCAGCGCACGACGCTCGTGGGTATGCACGTCACCTAAATAGCACTTGCTGGGGGAAAAGCAAAAATGGGAGGTCACATCAACCGCCCTGCCCAAGTCACCGTCTAAGCAGCCCCTCGTGCGGAGGGTACAACCGTGCGGTGGAGAGAGGGGAGTGGGATAGCGATGGATGGAGGAAACTTGAGCCACGGAGCTGCCCTCGGGAATAAGAAGTCGACAAGGATCGAGAGCCATAATCCTTATGTAGAGCGGAGACCCCGTAGATGTCCACCATATAGACCAGTGCGTCTTCACCGTTACTGCAGCCTGCACCCCATTGGTTGTCAATCGTTAAACGTTTTGTGTTAATAAATACATGGGGTTCGATTAAACAAAATAGTAGTAACTCACGTGCCCGTGCTTAATTCTTGTTTTCGATTATTTACCTTCAAAAACAAATCTGTCCACGTCTCGCACCCCCCCCCCAAAAAGGGCATCTCGCACTCCCAGGGGGGTGCGTGCAGTCCAGGTTAAGAACCATTGATATAGATAGACCCATAGACGCATGCAGGCGAGAGACCCTTGCTCTTCCATACAGATCCATAGACTTGCACAAGATTACACAGGGGCCGTAATCGTGCGTGTGGCCTTACATTCGTGTGGCCTAAACAACATTGCCGAGGACGCCAGGGAAAGGTGTAAGCCTCCTCAACCCTCCTGCCCTCGGCCTGGCTCAAGAACCCTCGTGCGGCCTGCGGCGTTGAGGTGCGAAGGGAGGGGTGGGGGGTGCGCGCGGGTCAGAATGGATGGAGGGAGCTTGAACCCTAGACCTGTCCTTGGCCAGGGGAACTTGAGAGAGCTGTTACTTGAGCCCTAGGCAGGTCTCGTGGGAAATGAGGATGCTTAATTTGGTGGGTACCGCATGTTGACGGTGCGAGTTGAACCGCGCTTATGTAAGTGCACGATGTGGGCAGCGAGGCGCGCGTGGAAACCTCGGCGATGGCGAAGTGATGTTTTCGTCATCGGCCGGCAACGCCGTTAGTCCATCCACTGCTGGATGAAGGGCCGTCCAGTACCGCTTTCATCCAGATCGCTCTTTCGCATACGCCGGTTACCATGTCGGCGGCAGTCGTACTTGAGCGTCGTCAAAGATTGTCAATAATAATGAAAATGCGATCGTTTAGTTTATACTGCGTCATTGTTCTTGCAAACCGCATCTCACAATCGCACGAAGAACCACAGACACGAGCTGGAAGGCAACAGCCAGGCGGTGAGATGGTGCCTACAGTTGCCCAAGCTCTGCGGTCCTCTAAACATTGAGATATTTTCGGCCAATTAATGAGCGTTTGCACGCGGGAGGTAGCTGGAGCACCCGGAGAAAACCCACGCGTGCGAGGGGGCAACGCTCTATCTCCGTACAGAAGGGGACTGATGATGGTAGCCTGCGCTTTGCTGCACCGTCTCCTCTACGCCCGCGGCAAAGGGAGTGTGGCGTGTCATCTGTGCGGTGTTCCACCGACCCTCGCCGCTGCCTCCACGCTGCTGGATTACAGGCGGCCACGTGCAGCAGTGTAGCCACCACGGCCAAGTAACATTTTTTCAGATGCACTTCTGCGGGACGTCTGGAACGCCCCCTTCCTTCTGATATCACGAAGCCGCTGGAGCTGTGTACTTTCCAAACCAGATTGAAAACGAATTTCTTTCGAACCGCTTGTTTGTGTTTTAGTTTGTTGTCCTTTCCCCCCGCACCTCCGGTTAGCACGGTTGGCTACGTACGGCGCGAAAGACGCTCTTATCTTCATCTTAATATAGCGCTATTATCCAGGGCAAATTTACAAGGGTTATGAGTGGCACAATTAGGGTAACTAACAGTGAGACGGTGACCGGGGATGGGGTATGGGGAGGGCAGTACGTGGGAACCGGAATGACGGTGGTGCCTAGGGATGGAGGGGAAGGTTAGGGCCAGGAAGAATTGGTGGGGGTCTTGAGGGAGGAGAGGAAACGAGACAGGGAGGGTGCTTGCTTAATGTTCCACACACACACACACATATACGTACACCCATTTCACAACGCCGCTCTGAAACTTTTGTTGACTCTTTACGCCCGTCAGGAGAAGTGAAATTGCCCATCACGTCTTGAAGACAAATAATGTGCGATGCTCCTTCACGCATCGAAGGGACGTAACCCCCCCCGCCCCCCCCCCCCCACCACCGAAGAATTCCTAGACATCAAATTGCTTTATGTGACGGGCGGGGTGGGGGGGGTTATGAATATTATTTTAACAAACTAAAAAATGTACCTCCGTCCTCTGACAGAAACCCATTTTCATTGCCCAAGTTGTAGTAATATCATCAAGTGTAACACATCAAGTGTAACAACCGGCTGCTACCTTTGACCCCCCCCCCCCCCAGCGTGTGTGCCCCCCCCCTCCCCCAGTGCACCAGCGATGGGAGCCACTTACTCGCCCTCTGCCCATTTTGGGCACCGCTGGCGCACTAAACGGCAACAGCGCACGAAACAAACAACGACATCAACAACAACGACAACAACAACAACGACATCAACAACAACATCAACAACAACAACGACATCAACAACAACAACATCAACAACAACAACGACATCAACAACATCAACAATAACATCAACAACAACAACAACGACATCAACAATAACATCAACAACAACAACAACAACAACGACACCATCAACAACGACAACAACATCAACAACATCAACGACATCAACAACAACAACATCAACAACAACGACATCAACAACAACAACAACGACATCAATAACAACGACATCAACAGCAACAACAACGACATCAACAACAACGACATCAACAACATCAACAACAACGACATCAACAACAACAACGACAACAACAACGACAACAACATCAACAACAACAACATCAACAACAACGACAACAACAACAACAACGACATCAAC